GTAGGGTGCTCAGCGCGATACCGGTCAGACTCAGGGTCCGGAACGGCAGGCAAAGAGGACGCAGGAGGAGACGGTAGAGGGACACGCCGAGGAGCAGTAGAGGGACGCAGAGTCATGTAGTGAGTGCCTGGGACAGGAGGAGGACGCTCACGACGGACACGACGACCAGTGCGAGCAGTGCGAACAGGCGACGCAGGACGAGACTCAGGCTCACGACGCTCTGTAAGACCTCCTGTGGGACCAGCGTAAGGAGAGGGAGCAGGGAGAGGCGAGGCAGGCGGTAACTGTGACTGCGGCTGGACAGGCGGAGGACACTCTACGGAGGGAGGAGGACAAGGAGGAGGAGCCTGCCCAAGAACCTGCTGAAGGAGCGGTACGAAGTACGGTCGCGGCCGCGCAGCGTCTCCAGAAGCAGAAGAGACTCCAGCGGCCGGGTCCTCAGGACCAGCAGGAGCTCCAACGGCCGGGTCCCCAGCACCAGCAGCAGCGCCACCGCTCAGGTCCTCAGCTCCAGCAGCAGCTCCACCAGGCGGGTCCGCAGCACCAGCAGCAGCGCCACCCCCAGAGTCGGCAGCTCCAACTCCGCTAGCACCGCCAGCGCCAGGGTCCCCAGCTCCAGCAGCTCCAGTCGCAGTGCTCCCAGAACAACCAGTCCCGGCAGCTCTAGTACCCCCAGTACGAGCACCCCCAGGACGAGCAGCCCCAGCACCCCCAACTCCAGCCGAGCCACTAGGACGGCGAAAGCGCCGGACGTACCAGTCACGAAGCTGCTGCGGTGTGAGAGACTGCTCAGCACCCCGAACCGGAGCACCCCCAGACGCAGTAACCCGAGGCTCCGTAGGCTCAGTAGCAGCACCCCCAGGCTCAGTACCCGCAGGCTCAGTACCCGCAGGCTCAGCACCCCCAGTCGCAGCACCCCCAGGCTCAGCACCCCCAGGCGGCAAACTCTCAGGCACAGTACCCTCAGCTCCAGCACCCGCAGTCCCAGCACTCCCAGGCTCCGCACCCCCAGGCCCAGCACCCCCAGGCTCAGCACCCCCAGGCTCAGCACTCCCAGCAGCACCACCCGCAGCAGCACCTGAGTCACCTGTGACCTCGACAGGCTCAGCGACGGGAGGAGGGTCTACCTGAGAGACACCTGAAGGAGCAGGACCCTGAGGGGGAAGGGGGTCTACCGGAGGGGGACCAGGAGCAAGGAAAAGCGGCGGGGGAGGGAGGGGGGCAGTGCGGTAGGGGAAGAGACGGTAAAAAGGGACCGACTCGTCAAAGGTGACATCCTGAGAGGCGAAGACCCGGCGCGAGGTGGGGTGGTAAAACTGCCAGCCAGGCGCGTCAGGGACAAAGCCAAGGAAGACACAGGGAAGCGTGCGGGAGGAGAGCTTGTCCGCGGACGTATCGCGGACAAGGGCACGAGCACCCCACACCCGGAAGCGCGACGCATCGCCAACCTCCCCCGTCCAACGCAGTGTGGGCGAGGTCTCCGGCAAGGAGACACGGGGCCAGAGGTTGAGCTGATGCGCGGCGTACCGGACAGCAAACGGCCACAGAAAATGGGGAGCCGCCGCGTGGACCAAGGAGGTACGAGCGATCTCCATGACCAGGCCAATGCGGCGCTCAGCAACCCCATTCTGCTGTGGGGAGTCCGGAAGCGTGAAGGTCTGCTCGATGCCCTCTGCCTGACAGAAGGTCCTCAGAAGATCGGAGGAAAACTCACCACCTCTGTCAGAGTGCAGACGCAGGACAGGAAGATCCGTCCGGAAACGGCGGCGGAGCTGGAGACGAACCGTGCGGATCCAAGGGATCAGAACAGCAGGGACCTCACCCTTGGTGCGCAAGGGGAAGACCGTGGTGTAACGCGAGTAGTCGTCAACAACCAGCAGAAAGTACCGCTCACCGCCCTGACCACGAACGCGGGCTGGGCCCCACACGTCCAGGTGGAGGGTCTGCAGAGGAGCCTCTGTCGGGGGGAACGAGGAGGAGTGAGGAGCGGCGCGCTGCCGCCCCTCGACGCAAGGAAGGCAAGGCGGCGCAGGAGAGGCAGGGAGGGGAGGGAGGGACCTGGGAAGACCAGACACAAGGTGGTGACGGTGCATGCCACGAAGGCGTGGCAAGGAGGGGTGACCCAGGCGGTGGTGCCAGAGAAGAGTCTGGTGCGACAGGGAACGACACTCACAGGCGTGGGCTACCAGACCTGACGCAGACACCTGACCGACAGCAGCGACCTGAGGAGACGCAGTGGTCAGTGTGTAGAGACTCGACCCCGGCCGACGGGTAAACGTAGCCAGGTGACGGCCGGTCCTGGAGCACGTGCAGATCGCCACACGCTGTCCTCCAGGGGTAAAGGTGTCAACCCACTGATCCTGGAGGACAGCGTTGCTCACCAGGTTCGTCGAGAACGAGGGGAGGTGGAAACCCGACAACGAGCCAGACGGAACCGCCGGACAAGGGAGGACAGTGGTGGACTGGGCAAGGACTGGGCCCCCAGAGGGGTCAGCCAAGGAGACTGGGACCGGTGCAGGAAGCGGTGTGAGCTCAGTACTGTCACGAAAGAAGCAACGGGAAGCACCTGAGTCAAGGGTGAAGGTGTGACAGGCCTCAGCCGGTGCGGTACCTGAGAGAGGAGTCTGTGTGGGTGCTGTACCTGAGAGAGCAGACTCGAAACCAGCCGGGACAGCACTGGGGGGAGCAAGTACAGGGGGTACCATACCAGAGAGAGCAGACTCACTAGTACCCAGGGCAGCGGGCTCTATACCTGGGTCAGGCGGCACACACAAGTAACAGTCTCCCTCGGCACTAACAGTCAATGCATACATGGCAGCAATAATAGCATCATAGTCAAGAGCAAAGACATCAACACCAGCCCTCATGAGCTCAGCCCAGCGGGGGCGCTCAACATCCGCACCCATCTCCTCACGCCAAGCGTCGTCAAGGCGGGAGAAGCAGCGGTACGGGGTGTGGAACCTCCCACACGTCTGTCCCTTGCGGTCACCTGTGCGAATGACATAAGAACAGCGGGCACTGGCCCCCGACGTCCCACGCTGAGCAAGCCACTCACGAAGCTGCTGGGTCGTCTGGGGACGCTGCTGCTGCTGGGAGCTCTGGCCCGAGCCAGTGCCTCCACTCCGACCTCCGCCGCCACCACTACCACCGCTCCGACCGGCACCGCCACCACCGCCACCACCGCCACCGCCGCCACCGCCGCCACCGCCGCCGCCGCCACTACTGCCACTGCTTCCTCCGCCGCCCCCGTCTCCACCACCGACCCCACTCCCACCAGCGCTCCCGCCACCGCTCCCTCCAGCACCGCCTCCCCCCCCACCTCCCCCACCTCCTCCCCCCCCAGCGCCACCACCACCACCCTTGCCCCCCTTGCCCTTGCCGGTGCGGCGCCTCCCACCAGGAGCAGAAGCAGCGCCAACAGACTCAGCACCAAGGAAGTCAACAGCAGCAGCAGCAGCGTAGGAGGGAGCGAGGGGAGAGGGAGAACACCCCTCAAAGATGGGGGTGCGAGGAGCGCCACGAGCAGCACCGACAGCTACAATGCTCTTTTCGGCCGCGAGCAGGTGCTCCTCTAGGAGGGCGACTGTGAGCTCAGTGGGACAGCGAGCAAGGAAGTGGTCTCGAACTGAGCGGAGGGTGTCAGGGAGACGAGTGACTATAAAGTGGAGTGTCCAGTACAGTGGAGGGGGGTTCTTAGCGCAGAACTCAGTGGGAAGGGCGGCACGCAGGCGAGCATCACTAGTGCGAAGGTGGGTGATAAGGTCGGCGACTGTAGTAAAGGTGGACAGATCGGGGAACAGGTACGGCAGCATGAGGCGGCTAAGCTCGGCTGTGGCAGGCGAGGAGTAGCGAGCGACGACAGCGTCGTACAGGGCCTTAGCGGATTTGCAGTCGCCAAAATGCTCTAGCTCAGCTAACGGCAGGTGACTGCGAATGGCTAGGCGAGCAGCTGCGTCACGAGTCTGCCAGTGGGAACGAACACTAAGCTCAGCTGTGGCAGGAGGGGCAGGCGCAGCACCAGACGCGTAGTCATAGAGCGACACATGCTCCTTGCTATCGCTCAGGAGGAACAGCTGCAGGTCATCTAGCCAAGCGGTGAACCGCACAGGGCGGCCCTCAGCATCGAACGACAGCACGCGGATGGAAGCCATAGCGACAGTGTGACAGAGTAACGCAAGCTGCCGCAGCAGGGGAAGGCGACAGTGCACGGAAAGAGAGCAGCGGGCGAGGCTGGCGCTACGGGCAGGCGGCGCTGCAAGCGGTCAGCGCGACAGGAGGGCGACGCTGCGAGTGGGCAGCGCGGCGGACGGGCCGGGAAGCGGGCAGCGCGGCGGGCAGGCGGCGCTGCAAGCGGGCAGCACGGCGGGCGGGCGACGCTGCGAGGCGGGCGGGCCGCGAAGCTGGCAGCGGGCGGGCGGGCGGGCTGCGAAGCGGGCAGCGGGGCGAGCGGGCTGCGATGCGGGCGGGCCGCGAAGTGGGCAGCTAGCGGGCGGGCGGGCTGCGAAGTGGGCGGGCCGCGAAGCGGGCAGCGGGGCGAGCGGGCTGCGAGGCGGGCGGGCCGCGAAGCGGGCAGCGAGCGGGCGGGCGGGCTGCGAAGTGGGCGGGCCGCGAAGCGGGCAGCGAGCGAGCGGGCCGCGAAGCGGGCAGCGAGCGGGCGGGCGGGCTGCGTAGTGAGCGGGCCGCGAAGCGGGCAGCGAGCGGGCGGGCGGGCTGCGAGCGGGCGGCTCGGCGAGGGGCGCGCGAGGGCGCTAGTGAGGGGCGCGCGAGGGCGCTAGCAAAGGGGCGCGCGAGGGCGCTAACGAAGGGGCGCGCGAGGGCGCTAACGAGGGTGCGCGCGAGGGCGCTAACGAGAGGCGCGCGAGGGCGCTAACGTGGGCGCACGAGGGCGCTACGAGGCTAGGGCACGGGGTAGCGTGGTAACCGCATGCGAGCGGTGGTGGGCCCTTAAAAAAACGGTCGGTAGGTCCTAGGGACCTCCTGCTCTGAATACCATGTCAGAATCACTAGGCAAGAATGATTGGATTGAAAGAAGCAAGGGTACAAATAGGAAACCCTAGTTGGGGTTGTACCCCATATTGGCTACCCCACTACAGCCTACAAGCATAATACAGTTTAACAGCTTTGAGTTTCGGCCCGGCGACGGGGCACATTCCCCAGAACGCCATCGTCTCGACCGTCGCTCTTGCGATCACGTCGGCATCGACTCCGGCATCCACCCCCGGATAGGCCATGTCAAGGGCGGTCCTCTTGAGTGCTGGCGCGACGTTGTAAGCAACCTCTCCCAGGGGGCGGTCCCTGTTGATCTCGGCGTTCAGCACCGCCCCCATGGCTTTGCCGAATACATCGGCGGTCGCCTGGCTCGCTCCGCCCACAAGCGCCGCCGCCTTCCCTTCTTCCACAGCATCCTCCACCTGGGCATCGCCGTTCTCGACGAAGCACCACACAGCGCATGCGGATGCTCCTAACGCCCATGCCGCCATATCCGTCTTCTCGTCGCTGTCGCCGCTGTCGCAGCGGTCTTCCCATACGCAGCGCACATTGACACGCGGCCAATCAACGCGGACAGCATGGACGCCGACTTCTCTCGGCCTTCCTCGGTGTCGGGATCGACTGGGTACCATATCGCTGGCAGGAGCGCGGCGTGCAGCGCATCGCCAGTGGTCTTGTAATGTCGATACTTGTCGAGGATCTCATTCAGCCTGTCACGCCAGCACAACAAACAGGGCGAACATTAGTGACCACCACAACGACATCGACTTTGGGTAGGAGGATTGCCGACTTACCGTGTCTTTGGAAGGAGCGTTCCCCGGGCCCACATCACCGTCCACATCCCGGTCGGCAAGATCCTGACCTCCTCCCACACCTCCTTCCACCTCTCCAACTCGGCGCTGTCCAGGACGGTGAGCTCGTTCATGAGCACCTTGCTCACGAAACCGTCGTAGACGACGAACGCGATGGAGTGCACGTACGCGAGCTCCATCTTCTCACGCGACTTGCCGATGTATCGATTGATGCCGTGCACCTTAATCTCGCCGACCCATCCTAGCTTGTCGCCCGAGGTATCGTGTCGGATGCCATGACCCTGCCTCTCCTTGCTCTTCCCCTCTCCTCCTCCTCCTCCTCCTCCTCCACCTCGACCTCCTCCTCCTCATCGTCCTCATCCGCCTCCTCCACCTCCTCCTCCGCCTCTTCTTCTTCCTCCTGCTCGACGTCCTCCACCTCCTCGACATCCTCCTCCGCCGCCTTCCGCTTTCCCTTTCTCCCTTTCGACGAACCATCGCCGACCGCCTTCTCCTTCCCCTTTCTCCCCGTCGACGCACCTTCTCCTACCGACTTGTCCTTCCCCTTCCTCCCCGTCGACGTACCCTCGCCGAGCGACTTCTGATTCTCCCCCGCTTTCCCTTTCACCCCCGTATTGCCGCCTCCATCCTTGTCAGCCGCCGTCTCAGCCGCCTTCCCCTTCCCTCTATCCGCCGCCTTCGCCTCCGACTTCTCCCGCGTCTTCCTCTGTGAGCCCGCCTTCCCCTTCCGTTTCGCCTTCTCATCGCCGACAGCATCACCGGTCGCAGTCGGCTCTGCTGGACTGCCGACGAGACCCGCCGAAGGCTCCACATGTGCCGTGTCGGAGATGGCCAGCGGTCGGGGATTGGCAGCATCCAGGTGGGCCTGTATGGCAGCGATATCAGCATCGGGGGGCGCCTGCTCGACGGGGCCGCCGCCGGTGGCAAGGGCGGCACGAACGCCCTTCTCCGCCGCCTTCTCAACCTCAGCTGCCACAGGGGTGGGTGGTGCGACTTTTGCCGACGACGTCTTAGCGCCGGAGGCAGAAGCCTGCTGAGTTGGCGCAGTCGACGCTAGTGCGCCCAACTGGGCGCGCAGCAACGCGGACTTTGGGTCTGCAGGAGCACGGGCGGCGACGACCGGCGACTTTGGGACACTGGCAGATGGGGCGTCGACAGCAGCGGGGGGCTGTTGAACAGCCTTGTGGCCGGCTAGGCGCCTGAGCTGCTCCTTGAGCGCGTCCGCAACTGCCGCCCCTTTCCCCGCGCGGCCAGCCTTGTCGGCAGCCGGGACGTCGGCAGGTCGCCCGGCAGACGGTCCGGTCGGAGGGCGTGCACCAGCTGGGGGCTGGTGAGGAACCGCTGACGCCACCGCGACCCCTGTCTTCGGGCCCTGGCCAGCTGGGGCCGTTTTTGCGGCCGCCTTCTCCTTGTCGCGCAGCCCTTCTTCACCGCTACCCTGTCGTGGTGGCTTATCGGCGACCGAAGGCGGAGCCCTTGGCAGTGCGTCATCAGTGGCATGCTCGTCGGCGGGACCCCCACCACCCTGATCAGTGCTGGCCGCTCGAACCCCAGCCCAGTGCTTCTTGAGCATGTCGAGCACGCTCTTCCCCGACTGCTTCCCCGAACTGCCTTCCCCGGCTCCCTTGCTCCCATCGCCGGCGACGCGAGAACCAACCGCTCCCTTGGTCTGCCTCGCCGAATCGTCTCCATCCCCCCCCCCCTCCTTCTCCGGCCTTCTTGCTACCGTCGCCGGCGACGCGAGAACCCCCCGCTCCCTTGCTCCGCTTCGTGCTCCCCGCGTCGTCTCCGTCGCCCCCCCCGCCGCCTGCCCCCCTCTTCAGACCCTGCTTCGTGGCCTCCATAGGTTGCGCATGGCCGGCGTCGTTGGCCGACGGCGACGACCCACGCCGAGCTTGGGTCGCCACAGTGCCGACCATCTCGGTCATTATCTTCAAACCGGAGGCGAGGAAAGACTGCTGCGTGACCTCCGTCACCGCCTTCAGCAGATCCTCCTTGAATGAATTCAGGAACTCTTCCGGCAAGGCCTGCGCTGGGGTGGTCGGCGGCGGCGGCTGCACGACGAGGCGGGGAGACACGGCGGCTGCAATGTTGGTCTGCGCGGCGCCGATGTATTTTATGAACGTCTCCTCCAAAGCCTTCCTCGCCTCACCCACCTCACCCGTCACGTGGTCGGCCAATTGGTCCACCGCGGTCGCTCGAGCGACCGCCATTCGTCCGTTGGGGGCGTCAATATCCAGCAGCATCTGCCTCGCTAGCTCGGCAAACCTCTTGCCCGATTCAACTGCGTTCTCCAGGTTGCTGGTGAGGTCCTCGGTGATTGTGGCCGCCATGGTCGACGTGGCCTCTTTGAGGCGCTCCACCGATTTCCGGTCGGTGTCCGCAACCTGGGCGGTCAATGCCGTGAGCTTGTCGAGGATCCCAGCTACCGCCGCCGCCAAGCAGTCGACCCGCCCCGCCTGATCACCGAGCTGCCGTTGCAAGCGTGCATTGTCGGCACGCAATTGTCGGTTCTCCGCACGCAGCTGCTCGACGACGTCCGGCATCGCCTGCCGACCAACTGCGGTGGAACTTGGATGACCGCTCACCGCCTTCTTTTTCCTGGACCGCTCCCCCCCGGCCTTCTCTGCGGTAGCATCGGTATGCATTTCCACGCCCGTCTGCTTCGTCGCCGCGGCGAAATCCCCATCTTCGTCGGCCTCGAGGTCGACAACTTCCTTCCCTTCGCCGACAACGACCATCCCACTCCCCCCGTGAGCCGCCTCCTCGCCGACCTCCTTGCTGGGTTCCGCTGTCGCCCCCTTCCCCTCTCCTTCGATTTCCGCCGATCTCCCACCCGTTTCCGCCGCTCCTTCTGCAACGTTCCCCTCCGCCATTTCCACGTCCACCTCTTCGTCATGCTGCTCCTCTTGCTGCTCGTGGTGCTGCCTCTCGTGCTCCTGCTTCTTCTGCTCCTGCTGCTCCTGCTCCTCCACCGACTCCGACTCCTCCGAGCCCCCCTCATCCTCACGATCCGCCTCACGACCCTGGACCCCATCATCATCCCCATGAACAACCTCGTCCCTATGCTTCTCCTCGGTCCCGGCCACCCCATGTCCTGCTGCCGCATCGGCCTCGTCGACGCCGCTACCCGGCTTCCCGACCGAGGTGCCACGCGCATCAGCGACGGCAGGGGCGACACCGCCAGCTTGGGGCGCCGACTGAACCTCCTCGCCGTCGTCGTCACAGACGTCGGCCGCAACTACGTTTCGGCCCGACCGTATGAGCGCGACCTGCTTCTTGATGAAGGCTACCATCTCAGTCCGCAGCCCCTTCAACCCCGCAACAGCGACCTTGTCCATGCTGGTGGCACTGCGACGGAGGGCGCCGGCCAACCGATCCTTCCGCCTCACCGCCCAGAGCAACGCGCTCATTGCTAGGAGGCTGGAGCCCGCGTCCCCGTCCCGGACGGTGTCGGGCACTTTCTGCACACAACACAGGAGAGCGCTGATATGAGCACCGAGATCGGCAGTCGCATCTCGCAAGGACGAACGGCAGTTGCATCGCGGGGAATTGACACCAAACGTACGAAACTCACATCTCGAAGGGGTTCGTCGCAGTCGGCGAGCCTCGCATGCACCTCCTCCTCGGACGGCTTCGCCCAGTCCCATTTCCTACCTTCGCGCCGAAGCTCGGCCATTACAGCCGCCCGGAAAAACCTGCAAAGCATGGCACAGACGGTCAGTTAGCACGGTGCACGCTAAGCATTGACAACGCAAGCGGCGTCGACTACACTATTGAGCTCACTCCAGCACGCGTTTCGCCTCTTTGATGTGCCACTCCTTCACAGTCTGCGGGTCGGCGTGCCGGATCGAGGTCCTGATCAACTGGCCCGATGCCTTCAACAAGTCGCCGGGGCACAGGATGATAATGACGCTGCAATGTGTTCCCGGAAGCGGTGCGATGCTGCACAGACAATGGACGTCGACATAGATCAGAACACATAATCGACGCAGGTTGCACCACACGCGCGACGACCCCGAACACCCTCACCTCGATATCAGTGGGATAACCGCCACGTCGGCGTCAAAAACCTTCGCGAAGACGGTATGGTCGTTCTGACCCATCGCCGCCCTAAGACGGCCGACTCCTATCGACCACAGCCGCTGGTCCTTCTCCGTTCCGCGCAACCATGCGTGCCTGCACGCATGCATGATCAGGAGGAGTGCGTGAGGATGTGGTCGGGACGCCGGCAGATACTACGGTTGCGGCAATAACACGACGGGTCGGGGATTCGACGAGAGCCGAATGAATATGGCACAACGCATCGCCTACGCCGACCAGACACCTTACGTCGGCGCCACCGATGTGATCGACATCCCTAATCCCTAACCCATGAGTCCGTCGACCTAAAAGACGGGTATTATGAAACCACGCTAGGGCTATCACCAGCATGAAATAACGACGCCGACATCCCCATACGTCACTCACTTGAGGCCGAGTCCCAAGCAACGGGCGTTAAACTCTAGCATAGGGTTTGTCAGAACGGCGTAGTCGTGTTCCTCGAACTTGGATGTGAGTCCTCTACCGACGCTTAGATACAGGGGGAAGTCGCGCGAGGTCGGCGTCGCTTCGTCGGCTTTCTGGTCGGCCGCCATGGCGGGAGAGCGAGGATGCTATGCTACGGGCTAAGGGAAGAAACGGTGGGAGAATGGAAGGCGCAGAGCTGGGAAAGAACATGAAAGAGAAACGAGAACGCGAAAATGAAGGGCCAGGCCTCCTCCGACGAGGAAAAGCCAGGCGGAGCCTCGCAGGCCCGGTTGAGCGTCGCCCAGGGGGCCGTGGTCCCTGGCTCGGCAGGGCTCGTGCACGGGTGGCGTGGCACAAGTGCACCCTCGCCGCCGAGCCAGCAGGTCGACGTCACGTCCCCTGGCCTCGGTCGGCCAGGGGACGCAAATTCGCATGCACGCGGTGCGACGTTTCGGCACCACGTGTCGATTTCGCAGCGGGTCGCGAAAAATGTGCGCCTTGGTGCGAGCGACCCAGAGGTTCGCTCGATTTTCGGCGGGTACGAAATGTCGCATGCATAGAAAAAACGATGCTAAACGACGGGCGGGCACGTGGCGTCACCGCAACGGGTCGCGAAATCGCCGATCGTCCCGAGGGGAGCCCCCGAATTTCGCACGGGCCTCGCCTGCCCGTACGGGCAGGCCGCGATGGGTTACTAGGACCTCGCGGGCAGGAGGGACGGGTGGGCTGCCTTCGTGTCAGAGTTATATTACTGTAACTGCATGTAGATATAGCAGTAGTGTAGTTATCACATTCTGTTTGGTGGATTACCCCCTTTCCTATCATATTTGTACCCTTGACTCTATAGTGAAGTCCTCTTTCATTGCCAACTCCCTCGACACTCTACCTCCTAGCATGGCTCCTAAGACTAAACCCTAGCAACCTATCTTGACATGGTTTCAGAGCTGGTTCTTTCCTAGAACCTTCATTTTTTTTTCAGAAACATGGGCCCGCCCTTAATGCAGCGCGAAATGCGCTATTTTCTTCGTCCCGTCGCGCCCTGCGCCCGTCTGATTCGTCGCCCCGCGGCCCCCCATTTCGTCGCCCCGCGGCCCCTGATTCGTCGCCCCGCGGCCCCCCGTTTCGTCGCCCCGCGGCCCCCGATTCGTCGCCCTGCGGCCCCCCGTTTCGTCGCCCCGCGGCCCCCCCCGTTTCGTCGCCCCGCGGCCACCCGTTTCGACGCGCCGGGGCCCCCCGTTTCGTCGCCGCGGACGCCAGCGCCGGCGGGCGCCAGCACCAGCACAAGCACCAGCGACGAGCGCCAGCGCCGGGCGCCAGCGCCGGGGCCGGCTCCCAGCGCCAGCAGCCCACGCCAGCGCCGGCAGCGGGTGATTCCGCCCTTCCCACCCGCCCTCCCTTCCGTCGTGGAGGGGGGGGGGGTTGGGGGGGGGGGCGGGTGTGAGGAGCCTGCCGCTCCTCCCTCCCTTCCCTCTTCCTCTCTCCCTGCAGCAATTGTTGCTGTGGGGGGGGGGGGGGAGAGAGGGTAAGGGGGGATGAGGGAGGGTATGAGAGAGAGTGGCAGAAGCAGCAGCCCTGCATTTGCAACTGCCACCCCCTGCTACTGTGGCACCTCCAGCTGCAGCCCCTGTTGCCACTTAATTCGTCTCTTTCGTTTGCTGCTGTTGAGCGGCAGGTGCTGCCGTTGAGCCTGCTGTGCCGCCGCTCGTTGCCGCCGCACGCCGCTCTCCAGGCGACCTGCGCCACATGCACCTTTCTTTCGTTTCTGTATTGGCTAAGGGGTTTCTGCAGTTGTTTCTGCCACTGCTGCACTGGTTGTCATTGCTCTTGCGTGCTAATGCTTTCAGTACACTTGCAGGTTGTGATTTATGCTTTGCTATTCCTGCATGCAGTTAAGGGGGAATGTCAGAGTTATATTACTGTAACTGCATGTAGATATAGCAGTAGTGTAGTTATCACATTCTGTTTGGTGGATTACCCCCTTTCCTATCATATTTGTACCCTTGACTCTATAGTGAAGTCCTCTTTCATTGCCAACTCCCTCGACACTCTACCTCCTAGCATGGCTCCTAAGACTAAACCCTAGCAACCTATCTTGACACTTCGCGCCGGGGTTACTTTCCCTCGCGCGAGGTCTCGCCAGCTCGCCGCCCCCACCCGGTAACGTGGGTCGCTGTTCACTTCCGGGGGGGGTTTTGCGGGGCGGCGGTCGTGCGCTCGGCCCGGCCCCGGGCCAGGCTGGCGGGCCCGCACGCGCGTCAGTCGCCCGCCTCGTCGGGCCCCCTTCCGTCGACCCCCCTCGTCGACCCTGGCAATCCGGCTCCATAGACCGAATTCCGCTGGGATCTTCAGGCAGAAGGAAGCCGCTTGTTTGGTCGGACAAGAGGGTCAACAGACTTGTTCAAGTGATGCATGAACTGCACGATTGTCACAGTGTAGCTGGAAACGCGTTACACTACGAAATCTATTTCAAGCAAGGTTACATCTAAAAAGTAGCCGATACCAGCAATTTCACAAGCCTTCGAGAACGGATTTCATTTAGTAGCGGCTTGTGTGCGAACACTTCAAAACTAGCAATATGACATCATCCTCTACACAACCGTACACTTGAACACAAGACAGGCCAAATAGAAGGGGTGACACTGACCCAACCATACATCACCATTGCCACAAAATTCACATCATAGGGAATGGCTTCAAGCCTTGAGGGCAAACTTGCGCTGGGGGAAGTATTTGAGCCTCCTGGCCTCCCTCGCTGTCGTGAGCTCAGACTGGCACAACATTGGAGAGATACAGGAAAGCAGAAAGCAAGATACGGATGAATGAGGATGACTAGAGAATAGCAACCCAACAGAAATGACCAGCTGACAAGGTTGAACAGCAGATATACAGGAACAAGTGTCACCACAAGAGCATTATCACAAGAGGCTTGAAGAAAGCAATGCTAGCAAAAATAACGCAGTTAGCTCGTCATGAAAACCATGCCAAATTCCCCTGGCTCAACTCTTCTCTCTCGCCCTTCCCCCCACCCCTTGCTCAATACCTCCCTTGCACGCACATACTGCACTCAGGCACACACACACACTGAGACAGACCGGCCTACAAACCTACAGGAAACACCACTTTCCTAATCATCCAATCGCCACAACACTCAGTCACCTCCACCTCCACACCAACCAGCCAGTAATTCATTGGGTCAGCTGGACAACCATCACGCAATCAAACCCCTCCCACCCCCACGCGCGCGCGCGCCGTCGCACCTGTCTCTTGGTGAGCCGCTGGCGGATGGCGCGGGTCTTCTTGGGCCTTAGGTCGAGCGGTGCGTACTTCTTCTTGGCGAACGCGGCGCGAAGGTTCGCCTTCTGCGTCTGGTTGATGACCGTCAGCACCTGCGCGATCGACTTGCGCACCACCTTTCTGCGCGCGGTAGGGAGACGAGGACGAGAGGAGGAGAGGAGAAGGGAGGAAAGGGACAGAGGGTGTTGAGGAGCGAGGGGGAAAGCAAAGGTACGCCATCTGCGTCTGGTTGATGACCGTTAGCACCTGCGCGATCGACTTGCGCACCACCTTGCTGCGGGGAGGGGCGGGTGGGGGAAGGGGGAGGCGGGGGGGAAGATCGGGGGACGGGCGGACAGGTACAAGCGCAGGGGAATGTGGGATGGGGAGTAGGAGAGATGGGGGGAGACAAGGAGGGGAGGGACAGAGTGCGTTAATGAGCGAGGGAGAAACGGGCGAGGAATAGGTCAAACGCATTTGGTCGCCGAAAAAGAAGAAACATAAAAGAGCATGAAGACCGGACGCGCTCCATCTTCGTGCTCTGCTCATCATGAGATTGCGAGGCGTTTGGCGTCGCGGAAGAGCTTGACAATCAGCGAGTCAATCGGGTGCACTCACATCTTGGAGAGCTTGTTGGGCGCGCCACCAGTGACCTTGGACACGCGCAGCGCTGCCAGCTCAGTCTTGAGCTCCTTCAGCTGCGATCGCGGGGGAGGGGAGGGGCGAGGACGGAAGCGGGGGGGAGGGGGGGAAGGGGGTGAGGAGAAAGTGTGATGAGGAGATCGATTGTTCGGTGCGCATGCGGAACGCTGCAGGCTCAGACTTCAGATCCTTCTGCTGCGCTCCGGGAGAACCATGAGGGCGCGGCGCGAAGGAAGAGAGGGGAAATAGGGCGAAGGGCGAGGGAGAATAAGGAGAGGAGCGAGGGATGGAGGAGCTGACACTGCTAGACTAGACCCCGAATTAAAACGGTGGAGACACGCGCTGAGGCATGACACGCGGCAAGAGCGTGCGAATCATGCGGTGTTGAGCGAGCGGAGGATCAAGAGCGGGGCTAAAAAAAAAAAAAAAGACGACTGAGGGAACCCCTGCTTCCAAGCTTTCGCACGTCGCCTCACAATAAGCTTCAGTCGCCACGACATCGCATTTCTTCGCTTTTTCTTCGCCCCCAGTGTCCCCTCTGTGACGGTTTGCGCGCACTCCTCCGCCCCCAAAACCTTCTCTGCTTCATCGCACCGTCCATCATCCGCAGGCAGCGCCTTGCGCTCCCGCTCACCCGCCACTTCCGCCTAACCCACTCTCATTCAGATCCGCCTCGTCACTCTCCCGCATGACACCCACCTAGCTAATTAGCACCGTCTCTCTTTCGCCGTAAAACCCCCGCCTATTGATACCCTTCCCCAACAACCACCTCACTCGCGGGAAAAACGCCCACGCGAAAGCCCGATCTCCACCTTCTCGGAAGCCGTGCTCCAACGACAAAGGAACTGTGAATTGCTCCGAGGTGCTCTCGCCGAGCTGTGAGAAGTCTCGGGTTTTGGAAAGTTTTTCGGACGTCTCAAATATTTCGGACATGTTGAGAGACGTCTCCAAGCAATCAGGCAAGCATCGGTCCCGCACGGAAGCTTACCTGGTTGAGCAGCTCCGTCTTGCTCTTGCCGCGGAGCTCGTGCACCCGGAGCTTGGCTGATCGAGACAGAACGGCAATGCGCGGGGAGAGAGGGGGGGAGACGGGGGGGAAGGGGGAGGATAGACGGCATATTGGTAACCCCGAATTCGTCTCGAATAGCAAATGCAAGGTGAAAGTAAATGGTTTCGCAAGGCGGTGGTTGGTCAGGGGACAGATCAACAACGACAACAGCGCCTCGAGAACACCCATCGCACCACGACAACGTGCCGACGTTTCTATATGCGGCACGACGCTAAAACAGTTCGCCTGAAAGACTCTAGACACTGCGGGGAGCCAAGACGTCGTTACGCCGACGCCAGACGTCACTTGAAGAAAGGTACTCTATCAGCCGTTGCTATGGCAATGACAGTGTTTACAATGAAACCCAGAGGAAGATAGGAGACGAAAGAGGATGTGACCTGCATCCTCCCATCGTGAATAAGGCCTAATGCTGGCATGCAGAAACGCAACCCTAAAAAAGGACGTCCAGCCTCAGGGATCAGCGGCAAATATCTTTTAGCCCCGCTAGCCGAATCCTGCCGGCGTCCCGCTGTTCACGGTGACTGACGACTACAGCCGGTCCGCGTTACAAGCACTCGCGCTACGGGTATAGGGATCAAAAAGCTTTACGCGACATATTGCACGACACTCGCGCGTTCCGATCGTTTCGACGGGCTATTCCAGAGAGAAGGCACAGAGTAAAATAACAGGCGGCGCGTACCCATTAGGATGAATTGGTGATGTTACTGTAGCTAAGGCAGGGACTCTCGAAGAGGGTCTAGCACGGGGCCAGAGGGAGGAGCGACAGGGAGAAGAGAAAAGTGGCAGAGAGCGAGTGTCGAATATGTAGGGCTGGGGCGAGCTTGGAGAAGATGCGGGTGAAGAAGATGGGAGGGAGGGAAGAGTGGTGCGCGGGTTGGGGGTGGATTCTAGGTGGGGGGGGAGGGGGAGAATGCAGGGACAGGCGGGATGCCAGTGAGGTGGGGGGAAGCGGAGATAGCGCGGGGAAGGGATGGTAGGATTTTCTGGGGAAAACCTCAAGGTCAGGTTTAGGGGGAACTACTTGTGCCAGGCCGGGGAAGTGGGGAGCAGATGGGGGAAGGTTTGTTCAAAAATCTTCAGCGAGGTGGGAGGAAAGGGCAAGACAAGGGGAGAAAAGAGGGCGCACGATGGAATGTTCGGGCTAGTGCTGGAATTTTGAGACTGGCGAGGCGAATTTTGCGACGGCTCGTGAAAGCGAGTAACTCGTTGATTTCGTCTGGGATAGTGGATATCCACCCAGACCGAAACTGAAGTTCGGAAAAAAAGGTTCTGTTTGCAACTATGGGGACAATACAAAGTGCGGTAGCATATGGTGTAGCAGGAAAGTATGGTAATACTAATGGGAGATTTCCGAGTTACGACCGTGGATGCTTTTAGCCATCTACAGCACCGACAGCCCACAACCAGACTAGGCCCTATTGTTCAGCACCATCCCCCTCCATTCAATTTCCACTCGTAACTTCACTCGCATTCATTATTTGCATCTTTATTGTTCCATCCACTGCACATGCAGCAAGCCAGTTTGTCTCACATACTTCAATATTTGTAATAATTAGACAGTAATATCAGTATAGGGGTCAAATAGACCCAGTACCCTCACTGAATTAGGGCGCCTAAACTCGGTCCATTCATGCAACCCTTGAGCTAAGCCTAGCGCAGACAGCAAGGCAGCACCAAGGTACCAACAATCACTCAGAGGAGCCGCGATTCACCCAATGTACTGCAGTATATAAATCATGCTAGGAAAACTAGAAACTGCCAATACCTTACCGGTCACCCCTACTACCACCTCACCTACAAGAGAAACTCGCTTCTCCACTCCATGTACACAGCTTCTATACTAACTCCCAACTTCCCTCCCTCCCTCCCTATCCTGGCTCTGTCCCCGTTTCCTTGCCATTCTATGACCATCGAACTAGCTTCTCCCAAAGATCTCCCTGCAGCATGGCTTTAGGGCATGCTGACACCCACGAAAACCGTATTTTTGTCATACTCAGCCCTCCACCAGTCAGCTTACACTGCTAGTAGCACGGCCGGCACACTATGTACCTTCCCCAGAAGCTCCCCTCCTCCCCCGCCCCCCCTCCCCCCCTCTCTTGCTGTTGCAAGTAGCATGGTCAGCACAGAATGCACAGCATGCCCCAATCTTCTCCCTCCACTTTCCCTTCCTTCCTGCCCTTCTTTCTGCTCTCCTTCCCCATTTTCTCCTCCTCCTTCCTCAATTCCCCACCCTCTCCTTCCTCACTTCCCCCCCCAAACCTTCCGCTTCTCTTCCTCCTCCCCAAACCTTTGCGATTGGCTGCACAGCCAGCACTGACCGCACAGCATGCCCCTCTCCTTTCCCCCCCTCCTTCCCCATCTCTTCCTCCTCTTCAGCCACCATCACTTGGAAATCGTCTGCACAGCCAGCACTGACAGCACAGAATGCCCCCCAGTCTCCACCCTCTCCCTCCCCTCCCCAATTCCCTCTCCTGTCTCTCCAGCCACTATCACTTGGAAATCGGCTGCACAGCCAGCACTGACCGCACAGAATGCCCCGCACCGTCCTCCCACGTCAGACTCCCAAACGAGAAGCTCCCTGTCGGGTTCACCACTGTAAACCCCACCGTAAAACTCACCGACTTCCCCGCGCCGATCGTAAACTGGCTCGGCGAAACCACCACCCGCACATTATCCGGAGCAACAACCTTGGCTCGGTACGTGGCCGTCGTACTTCCCACGTTCGTCACCGTCCTCTTTACCACCACCCCCTTCCGTAACCGCGACACTGCAATCGACGGAAGGTTCAAATTATACGCCGGAATCGCCTTCACCGGCTTAATCTTCCACCCCTGCACCTCGGTCAGGTTCTGCCCGGCCAAAAAGTTCAAATAGTCGCCCAACCCGAGGTTATACGTCAGCCCGGGATCCAAAACTTTCGGCGGGTTCACATGCCCGGATCCAATCTCAAACGGATTCGCCTTCTCCCCTGTGACAAACCTCCCGATCGGCCCGCCTTTATTATTCATATTGCTCGCCGTCGTCATGATCGCCGACATCACCTGCGCGGGGGACCATTTCGGCTGCTTCTGCACGAGCAGCGCCGCAATCCCCGCCACGTGCGGCGCAGCCATAGAAGTCCCCATGAGCATGTCGTACCCCGGCTTGCTCCCGGCCTTGGTGCTGCTGCTACGAGAGGAGCCCCAGAGAAAGAGGCCTGGGCCGAGAATGTCTGGCTTGAGTATGTCGTTGGTGGGGCCGGGGATGCGGGGGTCGGAGGATGGGCTCACTACGGGGCCTTGTGCAGAGAAGGGCGCGACGGCGGGCGCGATGCGGTTGAAGAAGACCGAGAAGGATGCTGAGTAGGTCGCGATGGGCCTGGGGGAATCGGCAGGATGGGGGGGATGGTAGGGGAGAGAGAAAAGAAAAGGAGTGCAAGGCTTCTTCATTGTCGTGATGTTCCCTTCACATTCTTCCACCTTTCTCCTCCTCCTGCTCCTCCTCTCCTCCTGCTGCTCCGAGTGGAGCCTCAGAGGAAGAGGCCCGGACCGAGGATGTCTGGTGATGTCTGGTCATGTCTGGTTTGAGGATATCCAGCGTCACGCCGCCAGCACCAGCCATCCCCCACCCCTTCCCCCCACCTTCCTCCCCCCTCATTTCCCCTTCCTCCGCGCAGCCACTCCCTCACCTCCCGGCCCCCTGCTGCCTTTCCCACTCTTCCCTCCCCGTTCTCCCTTCCACCCAATTTCCCCCGCTCCGCCCACGCTCCCCCTCCCGCGTGCTCACTTGCTCGTCGCGCGCATGTACTTCCGCAGCTTGTCCGCCTCCCTAACCCCGAGGTGCAGGATGGGGATGCGCGCGTCGTAAATATCCAACGTCACGTCCCCCCCGCCCGCCTCGTTCACCAGCACCATCGCGCGCGCGCCCGCGCCCGCCGCCGTGTCCGCCTGCGTGCCGAACGACGCCTGCCCCGCCGTGCACACCAATATCTTGCCGCTCGCCTTGGCGGAGTCTACTGTGCCGGGGAGGCACAGCTTTGCCTGGGAGTGGAAGGGAGTGGGGAGCGATAGGGAGCAGTGTTAAAATCGAGCGACCCCAGCCTTCCCCAGATCTTCCCCCCGCCATGCGCACCAGATCCTACCCGCTCGCCTTGGCCTAGTCGATCGTATCCAGGAGGCACAGCTTCGCCTGGGGATGGAGGAGAAAATGAGGTGGTGAGGAGGCGGGGGGGCGACGGGGAGCCCGGGGAGGGCGGGTTAGTAACGGCCGCCTGTGCGCCCCCCGCCGTGCACACCAGGATCTTCCCGCTCGCCTTGGCGGAATCGACCGTAACGACTGCGCAGCGCACACGTACTACGCACATGCGCATCCCCCTCCCTTCCTTCCCGCCCCACACACACTCGGCACCCACGTAGGTCACTGTGTTTGCCGTACGGCATCGCGTCGACCCGTACGGCACGCGATGCCAGCACCAACGGCCGCTCGACCCGACCTGACTGCGCGTAGACACACATGCGCTTTCCCCCACATCTCCCGCCACATCTCCCCCCCTCTCTTCCCCCCCACCCCCCACACACTCACGTCGGTCGCCGTGTTGCCGTACGCCACGGCGTCCTGCGCGAACACCAGCGGCAGCCCGCGCACCTTGCGCGTGCCCGTGCCGAACCCCGCGCCCCACAGGTTCACGCCCGTGCCGAGCCGCAGCTTCGACGTGTAGTGGCGGTCCGTGGAGCTGATGGGGGATGGGGAGGGGGGTAAGTGGGAGGAGTGAGGGAAGAGGGGGGCAAGGGGGTGAGGGAGAAGACAGTGTCGCTGGGTGAGGGCAGGGCAGGGCAAGGGAGAGCAATGGGGAGCAAGGGGGGGCAAGTGGGGCCGGGGCAGGGAGGAAAACCTCACCTGGCGCCGACGGTGAGGTAGAAGGGCGAGAAGTGCATGATGGTGCGGTAGATGGACTGCGCCTCTCCCTCTTTCACGCACGCACTCTCACGCTCACTCACGCACGCACGCACGCACGCACGCGCGCACCCTCCCGCGCACTATCTCACCTGGCGCCGACGGTGAGGTAGAAGGGCGAGAAGTGCATGATGGTGCGGTAGATGGACTGCGTCAGCGGCGGCGGGCCGTTGTTCCCGCCCGCGCACACCACCACGATGCCCGCCTGCCGCGCGCGCGCGGGGAGAGCGCGATGCGCGGAAGGGAGGAGAGGAAACGGGGGATGGGGGAAGGGAGGAAAAATGTGCGGGTTAGCTCGAAACGTGACGGGAAGCGGAACAGGGACGGCATATACTCAGTAATTAAAGAGTACACTAATCATCGCGTACCTGATTGGCGTAGAGGAAATTAGTGTCGTCGAAGTACCCCGCGTACGGATTAACTCCGCCCAGCGACATACTAATCACATCCACGCCGTCCGCTACCGCCGCGTCGATCGCGGCGTCGATATCCACGCTAGAAGCCGACCCGCTCATGTCCCCCTTGGCCTTCCAAAACACCTTGTACACCGCGAGCCGCGCGCGCGGCGCCATGCCGCTCGTCGCGCCGATCGCCTGCCGCCGGTTGTTCACGGCCTTAACTCCCGAGTTCCCCGCCGCGGCGCTCGCGCACCACGAGCCGTGCCCGACGGAGTCGCGAGGCGACAGGTAGTCCAGCGTCCCGTCGATCGCGCCGCGGTAGCGCACGAACCCGCCGTTGAACGCGCGCGCTCCGATGACCTTGTTGTTGCAGCGCGGGAAGTCCGGCGCGGTCTGGCACTTGCCGCCCCACTTGGTCGGCGCGGAGTACGCCGCGGAGCCCTGCGGAGGGGGGGGAGCCATGGGGAAGGGGGGGGGGAGTGGGAAGGTGGGGGCGCGTGCGGAAGGGAGATGGGTGGAAGTTGGGGAAGACGACGGGAAAGGAAAGGGTAGCGAGATGAGGAGAGAGGACGAACTAAGACAAATAGCCTGTTCAGCAATGACTATTGAGCAATGATAGTCGTTTCTCGCTTCCCGCTAATCAAAAGCACCTCACATCCAGTACACGCATGCCGACACCCCCCATCCTCTTCCCACGCCCCGAGCACCTCTTCCCACGCCCTGAGCACTCACATTCCCGCTCGCGCCGTCCGCGAATGACGGGTGCTCGATCCAGATCCCGCTGTCGATCACGCCGATCACCACGCCGCGCCCCGCGCTCTTCTCGCCGCCGTTCGCGCGCCACAGCGACGTGGGCAGCTTCAGGAAACTCGGCGAGTGCGTCGTCAGCGGGGTCACCTCGAACGCGGGCGTCACGCGCTCCACCGCGGGGTGCTTCCGCAGCTGCTCCGCCTCCGCGGGCGACAGCATCGCCGCGAAGCCGTTGCTCGCGAAGGTGAATCTGGCGGGGCGCAGGCGGAAGCGCAAGCGCAAGCGGGTGGGAGAAGGGGAGAGATTGACATTTACGGGAAGGAAACGACGGGGGGAACGGGCGAGGAGGAAAGGAGGGGGGATGCGGAGGAATGAGGAACAAGGGACCTGCCCGTCGCCCTTGCGCGATCCTCTGTGCCCTTTGCCCTTCCGCGCAGTCTCCTTCCACACGGACCACCTTGCATTCAGCCGCGTCGCGGGGCTCCCTTCCCCACACAACCACCCCCCTTCATCTCCCCGCACATCTCTCTCCCCGTCCCCTGCCGCCCCTTTCCCTCGCTTCCCCTCCCTTCCTCTGCCCTGCCCTGCCCTTCACTTCCCAGCGCTGCCCAGGGCGCCCTTACCATGCCCACACACCTCGCGATCTGCCTAGAGCCAGCCCGACTCCTCGAACATCTCTCTCGCACCCCTTCCCTGCGCCGCCCTAGGGCGCTTCTCTCTTACTTGTACACGATATTCTCGGGATCCACGCCCACGTCCGTCGCGATTTGCCCCTGCTGCCACTGTAGATAGCTCGAGAACTCCCGCACGTGCGCCGACGCCATGTTCACCTTCGGCGGACGCTGCATCCGCACCTGCGCCGCTTCCGCCTCCGCCTCCGCCTCCGCCGATCCGCTTCCGCTTGCGCCTTCGCCGGTCACGCTGGCGCTGCTCAGCGCCGCCGCTTCCGCCGTTTCCGAAATGGCGGAGGACGGCGCGGAGAGCGTCGTCGAGAGCATGTTGTATTCGTTGCCGTAAAACCCGGGAGCCGTCGCCGCGTAGCCGCTGATGCCGCCGCGGTACGCGAGGACGGGCGGCGCGGAACGCAGGCGGACGTTGTACAGCGACGCGGAAGAGTCGCGCGACTCGGACGACCCCGACTTCTTGGAAGACTTGGATTCGGCGATTGTCCCACCCCCCGCCGCAAGTAGAACGGCAATCAGCACTAGGGAATTGAACGCATGCGCATTTTGTCGCAACAGAGCTGGGCGGATTAGGGCGGGTCTCCGGTAGAAGCGCATTCCACCGCGAAGAGAAGCCATGGCTGGTTCTGCCCGTGTTGCTGCTGTGTTGCTTCCTCACTCTCGCACATACACACACACTCTCTCTCTCTCTAGCTCAGATGAGCGCATAGGAGAAAGAGGACAGCGTGGCGTGGTGGAAAGAGGGAAAGAGGCGACGCTGACTTCGCTGTTTGAATCCCTCGACAATTTACTAGCAGCAGTCCATCTGGCCGGATGCGCTGTGCGAACGGTTGCGAAAACGGTTACATCTCTCAGCGGTTCGTCGCCCTCGGGCGCTCATCTTGGCTGGAGATGTGAGGAGAAGGGGCAGTTAGCTCTTATAACTTCGCGACCACGACTGGAACCGAGATACTTAGAGACAATGAAGGGAGTGGTGGCTGTAACCGTTCCCCCACCCCAACAAAATTGTGCCTGGCGGCCAGAGATTCGGAATACCGGGAGCGGTAGTGAGGTATAAACTGTGGTAACGGCACGGTGCAGGGATGCTCGGATTGGATCAGGTAAGCTAGACCGTGCCGGGCCGTTTCGGGACGGGACTGTCCGTTTGAGAACGCATAGCGGGGCGAGGGTGAATAACGATAGGGAGGCGGAGACCGAGAGGGATAATAATTAAGGTGCGGTAGCGGATGAACTGTAAGGTTTGTACGGGACTAACGGAGAGGCTGGTGATTTGCTCGGCAGGGAGAAGGGGGAGAGGGTGCATGTGTGATTTATTGACCAGTACAGCTCGATAGATACTGGCTTGACCGACACGTTGGGATAGAGGTAGCTGGCAGCGGGCTCGAGACAAGAAGTGTGCGGGTCGTAGGGTGCGAAATTAGAGTTTCAGGGGAGGCTACACTGAGGAAATGCAAGTTGTTGCGCAACAGCGGTGAGTGCTGATGCCGCGAGGACTATTTTGTGAAGCTGCTGGTGTGGTTTGCTGTGTTTTGGTGCGGTGTGATGCGTTGAAGCTGTGTCGGCCGGGGGGTGGATCAGCCGCGCCGCCAGCTGGAGGCTATGACAAGTTTGGAATGGAGGACGGGGGGTGGGTGGGGTGTGGGGCGGAAATAGTAAGATGGTTTTGGTGAGGCGCCAACGCTGGAAGTATTGGGATTGAGGGCGGACAGCGACGAGGCGAACACAACACACAGAGCAGAGAAACGGAAACGAGACGAGACGAGACGAGACACATGGTCAGGATGGAAAGTAAGCACGCTCTGGAAGAGAGAACACCCGTCGGCGCTGTCTTCTTGTCTGCCTTCCTGCTGCCGCTTCTGGTGAATGTTCGAAATGGGCTCGCGGCTCGGAGAATGCGCTTCGATGCCAGATGGCCGGGCTCGGACGGAAAACCAAAGCAAATTCGATTCCGGTCAGCCCAGAGTCTCTCTGACCACCAAAACAGATGGCTCTGACAACCTTGGGCTCGGTCGGTAGCGCCAGGCAGATTTTTGTGATTGGACAAGTATCGCACCGTGTCGTGCCCGACGCGAAGCCTGAAGGGGCCCGCGATGCGCCAGAGCGGATTCTTTTTGCGAACATTATCCCCGGTACGCGCACTCTCAAGCCAACAAGAGAATATAACAACTTAGCTGTTGGCAGGACACATACTCTATTCCTGAATTCCCCAACTTTCATGTTGTCCTCCACTCACAATTTTGCTGCGCAACAATACTGTCTCATGTTTTAGACGCAAATTTTTACGTTAACTGAAAAAAACCATTCAATGCCTCCCTTTCAATACCATATATTTTGCATTGTCTTCTGTTAATACATACAAACTGTCTGTTACTGCATTTCCAGCTGTGAAGATGAAGGGATCTGTCCAACTGAACTACTCATAACGACCCATCTGATTTGAACCTTGATCACCAATCCTAGTTAGCCTTCAATTCTTTTAGGATGCATTCCTGTCTGTACATTTGTGTCACAAAGACAATGTACCGCTCTGTACCAAACCTAACCGAAGTTTGAAATATTTTATAAAGCGGTTTGATTCGGTACAAAGCGGTACATCTACATGCAAACAACTCACATTAAAGCACAAATAGGACATCTACATGCAAATCCACGCACACAGAAGAGGGAACACCCCTAAACCAAGGGGAATACAGAACAGCAAGCCCCTGCTTGCCAGCAGGGCCCTGCCACAATAGAATTATGTACGCGGTGGCCAATCTGTAGCTGGGCATGTAGGGGCTAGCACTAGCCCATAGAAGCCCCTAATCTCATGCCAGAACTTGGCCAATGAGCAAAGCATTTGCAAGCACTCTGGGAAAAATAGGGGCAGGTGGGAGGAGGAACGGGCCTTAGGCACAAGCATCCTCCGAGCCCCACGTTGTAGAAAAAATCCAGTTTCCCATGGCTCCTTAGTCGGAGCAACCAACACCAGTTGGTTCTGGTGGTGGTGGTGATGGCAGTGGTTGTGGTGAGATTAGTGGAACTCCAGGGGCATGGCAGACGCAGACACCACCGGTTCACGCTTCCTCTGCCTCAGATACTGATCCAAGCTGCTGGCGCTGCTGCAACTGCTGCTGCTGTTGGGGATGGTGAAGCTGGACGCCACGACGCTCAGCTGTCGCCTCGGCACAGGCTCGGCAGCAGGCTTGGCAGGAGCAGCAACAGGGGTAGGAGCGGGCGTGGAGGAGGCGTTTCTTGGCCAGGGGCAGCGGGGGCCCATGGGGGTGGGAGCAGGTGTCGCTACAACCTCAACATCCACTACCACCGCCGCAACCGGCGCAGCAGCAGCTGCAGCAGCAACGGACCCCTTCCTCGGCCACTCACACCGCGGGCCCATGGGGACAGCAGCAGCAGCAGCAGCAGGAGCAACAGGAGTAAGAGCAGGCAGCTCCACTCCCACGCCCATCATGCCCTTGCCAGTTCCCGCCGCGCCGCCCATGAGCGCCTGGGACAGCACTGATCCGCGCGGCCACATGCACCGCGGACCATCCGACACGTCCACCGCGGGGGGCGCTGCGCGCGCTTGCACTCGCGCTACCACCTCCTCCTCCTGCTGCTCTTGCGGCTCCGATTTCGACTCTACGCGCACCACGGGGGTCACAGTGGGGACTGTGCGCGGCCATGCGCAGCGCGGGCCGAGAGGGGCGGCTTCCGCGGGTGCGGGGGGAGCTGCGACGGCAGCAGCCGCTGCGGTTAAGGCGGGAACGGCGGAGGAGGAAGTTTGGCGGGGCCAGCTGCAGCGAGGGCCCACGGCGAGGTCAAGGTGCGGAAGGGCGGCGGAGGCGGCGGCGGAAACGGCGGAAGGAGGGGCGATGGCGGAAGCGGCGGACGTTGAGCGCGGCCACGAGCATCGCGGACCCAGCACCGCAGGAGCCTCGGCAGGAGCAGGAGCGGGGGCTGCTACCGCAGGGGAAGCCACGGCGGACAGCGCGCTCTTGCGCGGCCAGGCGCAGTGCGGGCCAAGGGAAGCCAACACGCGCTGCTCCTGCACCTGCGCTGATCCCCTCGGCCAAGCGCAACGTGCGGAAGGTGGCAGCGCGGAAGATTCGAGGCTGGGGACGACGGTCGCGGCCTTAACAGCGGAAACGGCGGAAACGGCGGAAACAGCAGAAGCGGTGGAGGCCACGCGCGGCCACGAGCACCTTGCGCCGGGGGCGGCGGGAGTCGATGGCGCGGCGACCGGGACGAGCGGGTTAGATGACTTCCTTGGCCACTCGCACCGAGGGCCAGGGGCGGGAGAGAAGGCTGCTGAAATGGCGGAAATGGCGGAGGCGGAGGTAACAGCGGAAACGGCGGTAAGTGGTGTCGACTGATTGTTGGTGCGGGGCCAGGCGCAGCGCGCGAACGCTTCAGCGCCAACCGCGGCGGGGGTTACGGAGGCGGCGGGGGCGTCCGCGGCGGGAGCAGCCACGCGGCCCGCGTATCGCGGCCACGCGCAATGAGGACCGGAGGGGAGCACCTCGACGACTTTAATCTCCTCGTCGATCTCCTCCACGAGAAACGCCGTCGTCTCTTCCGCGTCGCTCTCGTCTTGTTCATCCTCCTCTTGGGAAAGCACCCATTCCTCCTCGATAAAAGCGTGCGGGTCGCGCGGCCACGGGCACTGCGGCCGCAGCATCAGCTCCAGCACCTCCAGCTCCTGCTTCAGCGCGTCGCGGCGCTCCGTGAGCGACGCGAGCGACGCGGGGGGAGGGAGGCCGCTGCCATTATCGCCGTCGCGCGGCCAGGGGAAGTTCCACTTGAGGTCGAAGTCGAACGAAGGCATAGGCACGCCTTGCGCTTTAAGGAGCACCCAGTCGACGGGGTTCAAGGCCGGTGAGGTCGGCTGCTGCTGCTGCAGCTGCTGTGCGGAAACGGACTCTGCGCCGCCGTCAGTTACGTCAATGAAAGAAGTGCCTTGCGCGTGGAGAGGGAGAGGATCCATGTCCATTCCTTCGGTGAGATTTGATCCAGTGACGAAAGCATCGATGACTTCTGTCGCAGTCATTTCGCCTTTATTCTTCTCCTCCGCTTCCTTCTGCGAAACGGCGCGGCTGCGCTGCCACCGCCTCAGCGGTGCCGTCTTCTGGAGGAGAGGTCGCGCGGCGCGGAGGAAGAACAGCTTTCGCGCGCGGCTGGCGGACATTCCGCCGTTGGCGGAAGGCTTGATGGGGTTGGAGAGAGATTTGCCGAAGAGTTGCGGCGCGTCGAAGCTCGACGGCCGTTCTGAGGATGCTGACGCTCCAGGATGCTTCCCCGAAGCGCTAACAACAGCAGGCGGCGCGCGGCTCGCGACGGCCTGACCCGCTGCGACAATGCACGAAGCTGCCATGGTCGTTTGGAGAAAATGTCGTAGAACTTGTGGCACAACGCCGAGGAGAGACAAAAGTAAACGCAGGAAGACACGAGCGTGATTCCTGCTACAACGCGTGTGGGACTGTGTGAGGCGTGTGCGGTTTCTTCAGGAGAAACGCACGACTAAGTATGTAGAAGCTCCTTGCTGAGAAGCAGCTTCGAGGAGAGATGATCGAAAATAGCTTTCGGAACAGTAGGGGGACAGGCGTCCGGACTCTCGACCCTCTTACCCTCCTGAGACAGAGCGAGCAGACGAGAAGGCTCGCAGATATCAGGGACGGGGGGGTAGAAGCCAAGGAGCGGCTGCTACTGCGACGAGAAAGCAAAAACACTCACACTGACGATTGCCACGGTCTGCTTGCCTTCTTATGGCTTGCTTGCTTCGAAGGTAGCCACGCTAGCACAAGCGATGAGGAATGCCGAGTGGGGGTGGATGAGGGGGAAGGGGAGGGGGGGGGGTGCGCGCGCTGTGAGAGCTCACGGAACAGCAGGGGAAGAGGGGAGAGGGAGTGGGGGGAGGCGGGGAAAGGGGTAGGGGAAGGGTGCGCATGCGGAAGAAGAACCACCAATCGCGAGGCAGGGACGGGGGTATGGATGACGACGGACGGAGCAGAAGGCGCGTGGCGGAAGGTGTCCGCTGCGCGCGGAAGCAGACGGGCAGAATTTTGTGGTGGGTGGGCTGGAAGGTTTCGGTCCAAGTGGGTGACTGGAAAAGGGACGGGGAAATGGGGGAGATTTGGGGAAGTGTGCTTCTGCTGGACGGGGATTCGGGGAAAGCATGCGCTCGGCTGGGGAAGGGTGTGCGGACAGGGTGTGGGGGGAAAATGCAGTTACCGTATGAGGAAGAGAGGGAGTGTCGGTTCTGGGGAAGGGATAAGGAAAGGGCACTCATGCGCCACACGAGGAACTTGACGGGAAAGCCAATCTGTTCCAGGTGATAATGGCACTCAATTTGAGACAAGCCGTGAGAGTGCCCCAGGACGCGCTCAGAACGATTTCTAAAAAGGTCAGTTCACATCGTTAGGACCTACGGATTGCTGCGTACGTGTTGATCAAACCGGTAGTCCAGTGTAAATCTAAGTAACAAGACGAATCATTATGGATTGTCTAATCTTCCAACTACTTCAACGTACCAGTAAGAGTGCAATAATCTTTCGCGGGTCATCGACGTACTGGGTTTTCCCTGACCCTGGACAGTCCCAGATGTTGTTGAACGCGCCCCCTTTAGATGATCTCGATTTTAGTTCGCTTCGTGCCCCAACATCTCTTCGGCGGAGTCCTTCGGCGGAGACTTCGGCAATATACTCTCTCGTGATTCGTGAATCAAGCGGCTTGACGGACACACAGCGAAGCGCAAAGAATCAGTGACTATTCTGTATTATCCACGTACGTACACGCCAGCATGGGCCGCCATGTGCTCATTCGAGGACCCGGATAGGTCAGGCCTTGCTGCTGTCGACTCAATAAAAATGCTATCCACTGATTTCTGATGTCATTCTCTCTCCAATCCACACGGCAACGCCGAATAAGCGCAACCGGAAATGTTGATGCAGCACAGGGAGAATTATCCACGGTGGATGATACATTGTCTGACTCAGAAAACCCGAGCTTCCGCACACAGAGACAGCGGATCTACCAGGAACACACGATTGAAGAACTCGATCACCACCTTGAGCGGACAGCTATTCCACATTCAGATGTTGTGTGATATCATGCTGAAATTTTTTATTGACTACTTCTGGAAGTTCGAAGTTTTACATAAGCAGGTATAGAACCCGAAGGCGTAGATCTTTCAGAAATATTGCTCGAAGAGGAGAAGGAAACTGTACAGTGTGGGACTTAAGACGGATAATAGAGTTTAGTTAAAACTATTTTTGGTTAATTCGTCTGAGTTGCGAAATCTGTACACGTCCTGCATGGGCGAATCAGGATGTACGCCATCAACATTCGTGTAATCATTACACCATTCACCAACCAAACCAAAACCATGAACGTTCTGGTGTGCAAGCAAGTCATTTACTGATTGGGCAAACATTGAGGGCAGCAAATCTTTTGACCAATTACACATGATGCCCGACCAGTGCACGCGAATTTGCCCTGCGCCGGATGGACACGCTGCCCCCGAGGTCGAAACCCCTGCTTGCTGCTCCCACAGTACAAGCACATGGGTGGCTGGCAACAGTACACGCGCTGCGGCTACCAACTCACGTGCAGTCCCGAACAAGGCAGACCGACCCTGGTTTGCCTTGTTTTTAGGCCACAAGTCAGGCAGGCGAAATGCAAGGACGAAACGTGAGTGGTTTCGTGATCGCATTCGCCCGACTGCCCCGCCACCTCAGCGAGGTTCATCGTGCGTGTAACAAACACTTGGGCAGATTCACACTGCCACGTGTAGTCTGCACCTGTGGGGTACAAGCTCATTATCAACCAGGAGTTGTTCGCCGACCCCACGTCAGACATTCCATCGTGAGGTTACCAAACCGCACGATGCGATTTTCCAAGACAGGTGCATGGAACTAACAGCGGCCACACGAATAGGACGAGCCACACAGAACGGGCCCCTCGAGTGACACAGCACATCCGCCATCTAATTTTAAAATCAGAACGAAATCACAAGAGCATCGTTCTCAAACACCCGCGCCTCTCACGATGCCCCGTTTCCATCGTCGTGACTGGCACGATTTGCGATAAATTAGTCAGATAGGGCGTTGGTTCATAGCTACTAAAAGCACCCACGCAACTCGAAGATTCGACCTCTCTCGTTCAAGTTCCTTCTTTTTTATTGGGAATTGATCAGACTGGGGCCTCGGGTTAGCAGAAAGAGTGCCAACTTGGGGCCTCGTGATTCGCGAACCTACGAAATAGGGTCGAAGCAATTCACAAGCCTAGGCAGCTAGGCCGAGCTCGCCAGGTCACCACCTGCTGGCTTGGGTTTGACGGATTTCGCTAGCACCCTGGTTGACGGGAGGAGCGATCGTCAGCCCACTCACAATGGGCAGTACAGATACTTCAGCGAAATAACCCAAAATTTTAACATTTTACCCCAAAAATATTATCGCAGTGTGAAAAAAATATAAAACCCAATCGGAAGGCATAAAATTAAGGAGACATCAACCCTAAACACATGCGACAAGGTGTTTAGGGTTGATGCCTCCCTGACCGAATGCATGCCCGTTCGGGGTTTATAATTTTTGCCAGCTTGTCCGTTCAGAAATCCGTCACCTTGTGTGGTCAGGTCTGACAGAGCGCGTTAGTGAGGCCCGAAATTGGTTAGAAACAGGTCCGGACCAGGTTCGACACGTTGCGACACACGAGGCCCCAGTTTGGCACTCTTCCTAGAGCTTCGGGGCCCCAATCTGATCATTTCCCTTTTTTATTCCTGCATTTCTCAAATGGTTAACCCGAAGCTTACGCCGCGGTGGGGCGACAAATCAGACGCGTCATTGCAACTGAAAGAGCCCACCCGCGATGCCGAGCCGCTGTCACCAACGGCTCGTTTTTCCGTTCTGACGATTTTTACACTACAGTCTCATCGGTTCGTCCCATTTCATAACGCTACAGAAATATAGCTCGACCCGTCGATTTACTCGCCCGTTCTAGACGGGAAACGCGCAATGCGATTTTCCGCAATCCAAATCATCACTTTTCACCAAGCCATTTCTCCGCGCGCTACTGTGTTTTCCTAACATGATCCTCTTGTCGCAGGTGCGCCGTGGCCGTTGCAAGGGCGGTGAGCAGGTGTGGCCGTTGCACTTTGCCGAGCGAAGAAAATTGTACTCGAAGATGTAGTTTGTGGGGCGTACCGCAATGGCAGGGCAGTATATGCTGGTATTAGCTCCCTGATTAATTTCCTGCCTCGCATTCACGACTTGCGTCTTCGTGTCAGTGATTTCCGTCATCTCCGTATTTCCTGTCAGTCTCCGTGGATGACAATGGAAGACGATATTGTCGCAGTTCGACTAAGCGTTAACTCGACAATGCGTCAGTGGGGCCAAAAAGCGCGCGAGGGTGAAGCTGCTTCAAGAACGGCGGAATTGGAAAGAGGTGCAATGCCAGTGGCAGGAGCTGTCAGCTAGAGTGGGAATTCGGCTCCATACTCTGCGAGGAGTATGGAGTGTCACACCATGCAAGGCGTCGAAGGCACCTTGCTGGGCACAAGTGTTCAATCCTTGTGCCCATTTGTGTGTGTTTCAATTTTTGTGCGTGTTGGAGCTGGGGGCCATGTGGGAGAAGCTGATTGGTTGTGATTGGTTTTTTGGTTGTTTTGAACTAAGAGGAACATTTGATGGGGCTCGTTGTTGCATTGTTCTCACATTCGTTGAGTAACCAGTTACAAACATAAGGGACAAATATGGCCAACCATTACTGTTGCAGATCGGACAAATAGGGTGGTTACCATGTGCAGGTTTGATGCACGCATAAAGCCTAACGAAACTCACGAACTTACGTGAAATGCATTTTTAGCTTACAGACCCCCTTCACAAGGCAACCGGGAGGGGCTCTAACGAGCATCAGGTGTATAATTCAGAAACAGGTCCTAAAGTCTGTCGATGAGGACATCCACACAATCACTCAGTGCCATCTGGAGACTCTGAACAGTTGAATATTGACGCGAAGAAGACATCAGCCCGTGAGCTGGGAAGGCAGCTACCCCACTTGTCAATCACGCGCTTCGCTCATGCTGACTTGGCCGTGAAATTGCTGACGCAGGTCCACGAAAAGGAAGAACCACATAGAGCACATCATGTGATGGCGTGTCACCCGTGTGAACTCCGGTCGAATATCAAATTAAATCTACGCGTTATAAATTGATCCGAGAGGCACTCGACTGGAGCGAGGTAGACATATGTTGTTTGCTGCACATAAAGTAAATCGGACCTCAAGGACTTTCCTGAAATCCAGGAAAAAAAACTCAGAACATAATTGCGGGAAATGGCAACATAAAACCAATATTACAAGAATTTATGCAACAATCTCGCGTCTCTGCGCAGTAATGCTTATTCTGCAGATGTCGAGATTCACCGGTAAAACAATTGCAGAAACATTACTTCAATTATTGAAATCATATGGATTTTACCTCATTACACATTGACCATATCAGTTGCCAAAAATCTCCGCTAGAGTCTGATTGTGCTCTTCAATATAACCGCTTCACATAAGAAGGGGTGGTCTTGAAATGATCCATTTCAAAAGGGTTTTTCAATAGCCGATGCGATGCACCTCGAATTGGGTATCATCTATTGTGGCTAGTTACTGTCCTGCAGCTCGTTTACCGTGTTCCAACTGTGTAACACAAATTCGAATAGGATCGCCGAGATTTGAGGAGCATCACCAGTTTCTGCTCTTCTCTTTTGTCGACGATCGCTGGCGAGATGCTGCGCGACAGCGACGAAATTGGATACCGGCGTTCATTTCGAAAACGCTCACGACATTTGAGCCAGAGGTAACACGGCTCCGCTACAATTCTTACCCAGCCGCCTGGGGACAGCGGCCACGGTCACGACGTGTTCGATGTATTTTTTAGTCGGTGCATCATATTGCAGTTGGCTATAGTACGGTTCAGTGCGTTAGTCCTTCTTCTCTCAGCAAAAATGTGTCACGCATTTCAAGCTCTGCCCATTCAGTTTTGGAAATCCTTTCAGAAGTTTCTAAGATCCAGTCTTCCACTAAGGTATGCTTGGCACGCCTTCTGGTCTTCATATGTATGGCGTGACGTGTCGCCTCTGGGCAACGTCTAACTGATGCAAATGTTGAACTGACTGGTCCTGTCATTTTTCTTTTTCCTGACGGTTAGCTGAATCCCAGGTCAGCCATTCGTCATGCCGAACCCCAGAGTTTTCTTCGACATCACCATTGGGGGAGCTCCGGCTGGCAGGATAATCATGGAGGTTCGTCATTTACTCAGCGTGACCTTTTTTTCGCAAGAATTTCAGTATGGCACGTGGTTAAAACCGTGGCTTTTCTTTTCTTCCTATGATTTTCTACAGCTCTACAGTGATGTTACGCCCAAGACAGCTGAGAACTTCCGCGCTCTGTGTACTGGTGAGTGCGATCGTAAATGTCCACTGGTACTGTGTTTTGTGCCATGGTCTGATTTTGAATATTAAAATAATGTTTTTATCAGGTGAGAAGAGCCGACCTGGGAAGCTTCTTCACTTCAAGGGCTCCACCTTCCATCGAGTCATTCCTAACTTCATGTGCCAGGTAATGTTGGTTACACATTTAGCGACACCGTGTAAATCTTTCTGCTGTTAAGAAATTGTTCGTGCATGACTCTAGGCTTACGGGTTATTAACGCTTTGCGTGAACAGGGAGGTGACTTCACACGGGGCGACGGTACCGGAGGGGAGAGCATCTACGGTGAGACGTTTCGTGATGAGAACTTTATCAAGAAGCACACCGGACCTGGCATTCTATCCATGGCAAACGCTGGCCCACATACCAACGGTTCCCAGGTTCGTTCATTCCTTCACTTCCAGCTTATTAACTGGAAATGCCATGCCTATTGACTGTCCCTAATCTTGGCCCCTGTACTGCGGGTTCTGATTTGGAGCATTTTCCTGTATGTTTCTTGCGCTTGCAGTTCTTCCTTTGCACGGTGTCCACTCCCTGGCTTGATGGGAAGCACGTGGTTTTTGGAAGTGTTGTCGAGGGAATGAACGTTGTCAAGGCAATCGAGGCTGTTGGCACAGCCAGTGTAAGTATTTTCATGCTTGTTGATCAAGCTTTACCAAGATGAACCTGCCTAACACTTGCTAGTTATGCCTTGCAGGGTTCTACAAGGAAACCTGTGGTCATTGCTGACAGTGGACAGATCAGCTGACCTTTTTTGTGGGATCTACGCTACATTCAGTCTGGGGCATTTGCTGCTGGACTGAAATGCACTTCTTTCTAAGGTACATTCACTACCGGTAATTTGATTTTGAGTTGCCCGTGACATGTAAATTGTATGAATGAACCACGCTGCAGAAGTGTATTGTGGGCAGTTTAGCTTCAAGCAGGGCCCAAAATATCAGGGTAAAATGCCCTGATTACCCTGGGGGCCGGCCGTTTTTTCAGAGTTACCCTTTCAAAATCAGGCTTCCAAGATTTTTTCCCTTACGCAAAAAGAGTATGTTTTTTTTTACACTGATAGCGATTTCGGCTACCCTGGCTGTATCAGGGTGCGCTGTACATTACACTGATACAGAATCCTCTGTAGCGAGGATTTTCGTTGCGAAATGGCAAAACTGATCCAATCGCCCACAGGATTTAAACCCGCCACCTTGAGATCTGAATCTGCACATATAACCAACTGAGACACACACCAATAGTTTATATTGATTGTAGCACATTGTGTCTATTGTTACACTAGACTGGCAAAACACCCCTTAATCGAGCCACACCACTGCCAGCTGAGCAGAGTTGCGCGTCAAGGACAGCTTCGTGCTACTTTATTGTTACTGTAGAAATTACTAGTAGTGAAAACAGACTAGATATAGAATTACCCTGCCGAAATCAGTGTAATGGTAGATTTACCCTGCTGCCAACAGGGTACGGAAAATTTTACCCTAGGGGTCTGTTCAAGGAGGGGCTGTTACCCTGATTTGTAAGGGTAGGCCAAAACCAATTTTGGGCCCTGGCTTCAAGCAGTATCACCACTGGATACTCGGTTTTGTCAGAAGTCCTATTCCTGAACCCTCAAGCTAGCTCTCCACCAACCTTACTACCATCAGATTGTGTTACCCAATCAGACAAAAATTGCTGTACCGGAGGATAAATCATACACGGTACAGGAACAATAAAACTCACAGTAAATTTCGGTATTGATGAGCACTGTGGCTCACACAGGCACGCACACCCATACACCCATTCCCCCACACACACAACCCCACACCCCCACACACACACACCTAAACAGATCCACTGGAAAATGGTACGGGATCTTCAACGCTGGTTGTAAAAGGACCATCCAATGCCACAGACCATGCGAGGAAACCCAAGGAGGCCTGGAATAAAAAACAGACCATGCCTGGAAACCCCCTTTCACTGCTTGTTACTGCCGTGATTTGGAGACGAAAGGGAAGAGACTAGGTTGCACACTCCTGTGCCCTGGGCAGCCGCTGGTTGTGTCCTGGGACCAGCTGTGTGCTCCAGAGAGCTGTCAGTGCTTGTCGGTAATTGTAGCATCTATATCCACCACAGGAGGAAGAGCCTTTTGCTTGCGCGCTGCAGATTGTCATACACAGGAGGAAAGAGGAAAACAGGAAACGCAAGAAAACCAGGGAAACAGGGTTTAGGGTGGTGAGAGAAGGATAATGTGAGAGGGAAGGAAGTAAGAGTGGAGGCATGGGGGTGAATATCAGTAAAACAAGCACACGCGATGGATGGAAACATTGTTGTACATTCTGCATCATTGTCGTTAGCCGGCAACGTCATCGTCACCATGACCATCACCATCATCACCAACAACTCACCATCATCATCCTCTGCTTCAGCAAAGACATCATAGCTGAAATCCACACGCGAGAAGCGCGGACGATCGCGGAGGAACATGCCGTTCTCAACTGCATATTGTGAGTGGGGCGGGGTGGGGTGGGGTGGGGTGGGGTGGGGTGGGGCGGGGCGGGGTGGGGTGCGGTGGGATGGGATGGGGCGAGCTTGTACACGAAGGTGGTTACAGAGAGCTGGCGAATGAAAAAGGATGGGCATTACGCGGGAAAGAAAGTGTGTGCTTCGTGCATGTGCTGATGATGAGCCAGATGATGCGACAAAACCAGCGAGGACGATGGATATAGCGACGAAGGGAGTGAGGCGAGAGGTGAAAGGGACTGAGGATGGAGAGTTGGGTTGTGGAAAGAGGTGGAAAGCGCAAGCTGGAGGAGAAGAGATGTGTGGATTGGATTGGAGCACTCAGTGCGCACATCTAAGGGGATGGAAGCACCGAGGGCATGCCATCACTCCTTGGAAGAAGTCCCTGGAGAGACAAATTGGGGGTAGGCACGGGGAGCAGAGGTGGGCAGACGTGGGAACAAAAAATAGTGAGATGAGGAAACATGACGGGGCAACATGATGAGGGAACATGATGAGGAAACAGGAGGTAGCTTGGAACAGTTGGTGAGGAGAGGAATGGACAGGAGGGCCATGAGAGGAGGGGGGGCATCATAGGAGGAAACATGAAAATTGTCGCGTTGGTGATAAAGAGTTGTGGCCATGGCAGGCGTCGAGTGGTTGACAAGAGGGAGCAGGTGGGAATTGTGGGGAGATAACGAGGATGGGGGTACTAGAATGGAGGTATGAGGATGGAGCGCACGTGTGTGCCATAATGTGTGATACCTATGATAGTGGAACTGATGGCCGCACCAAGGGCACTGAGACAAGCAGGGGGGCATGGTGGGGCAGGGGGGCATGGTGGGGCGTACGGAGGGAGAAAGTAGACACGAGTGAGAGAGGGATTGATACGCACACAATCCACACCAGCAGATAAACACAACGCAGCACAGCACCACTCATTCCCCTCATCGATTTCTCTATCCCCATACCTGGCCTACTCCTTTCGTTCCCCTTCCCTCCCCTGCTCTATGTTGGATTATACGCTCGAGGCCCTTCGCGTTTAGCGTATATACGCTAACGTATACACGCAATACGCTAAACGCTAGCGAATACGCAATACGCTGCCATAAAATTTTCCGGGCAGCCCGGAAAAATAAGATCGCAGAAAAGATGCGGATTTTCTTGGTGAGCATTTCGCCGAAGTCGAAATGCAAATCCGCGGTCTAGGCAAGCTGGGATCTGACTTTGAAGTTTTCAGGCACATCTAGCTATTCAAATGTCGAATTTCAGATCCCATCTAGGCATTTGAACCCATCCCCTCTACCGCATTGAAAACCATCTTATCTACGAAATCCAACCTATCAAAATCGAACCCCCAACAAATCTCACGCTACTAACCAGCCAACCCAACTCCTAACCCGTCATTTCCTACCTTGCATTCCCGCTTCCAGCAGTGTCACCGCGCACTCCAACTTGAAAAGCCTCTCCAACACTACTTTCTCTAGCTATGATGACTACTCCCCGCCCCACCCCACTCGCCGATCGGACTCAGGAAAATGCTACGGCACGTCCTAGTGAGATGAGATAGGGGGTATTTTTTTCCACCCTGCCCGAATTTTTTTTCCCTGCCCGAAAAAGCGTATGCCTGATCCGACCCTCAAGCGTATTGCGTATACACGCCAGCGTATATACGATACGCATATATACGCTAAACGCGTATAATCCATCATAGCCCCTGCTCTCCCCTCTCCATCCCTCCCCCTCCCCTACCCTCCCCCTCCCCTTGCCCTCCCCTCCCCCTCCTGATCTCCTCCCATCTACTTCCCCCACGCGTCTCACCATTGCGAACGACAGAACCAGCAGCTCCGCGGCGCCTCCAGCGATCCACGTGGCAGCAGTTAGGACCACGTCCAGCAGGATGAAGATGAACTGATGCACGTGGATGACACGTGGATGACGTGGAAGGCACGTGGATGGCACGTGGGTGGCACGGAGGGGATGGAGGGGGGGAGGGGGGTTGCGGAAGGGCCAGCGTAGGAGAATGGGAGTGTGAATGCGGAAGGACTCTTGAATTTCCTAAGTGCCCTTTTTGTCAAGACCTTAACATGGTTTAAAACCTTTTTTCCCTTTGCTCTTTTTGTTTGTTGATTGTTTGATCCAAGGTGGGGATTTGCCATGCCCGACCCCTTTTCTCCCTTTTTATTTACCACGCTGTGAGAAAGTGTGAGCTTGTGCACATGCCGGTGCAGCATTTCAGGCGCATACATGCACTTGCATTACAGCTTCTCTTACACCGCCTCTCTTACTCACCCATTCGGACACGCATTCCACTCACGCATTCCCCCTCTCCCTTCACCCTCCCTTACTCCGTTACTCCCTCCCCCCCTCACTCACTCGATCACTCCCTTACCCACTCATTGACACACTCTCCTCCCTCCCTCCCCCCCGCACGCACCCAAATCTGCGACAGCCCATCCAGCACGCGATCCCCTCAATCACTTCCTAATCCACTCACTGAATCACTCCCCTCCCTCCCTCCCTCCCTCCCTCCCTCCCTCCCTCCCTCCCTTCCTCACGCACGCACCCAAATCTGCGACAGCCCATCCAGCACGCGATCCCCCGTGCCGCCCAACGTGCCGTGAACCACGCCGTGCATGCCGCAGATCGCGCCGAACACGATCCCCGACAGCCCGAGCCGCCTCACGTCCGCCACGATATCCGCTAACTTTTTCTGCGGATCGCTCACGCTGCCGCCGCCGCCGCTGCCGCTGCTCGCGCTCCGCGCGCTGCCGCCGATCCCGCCGCCGTTGCCGCTCTTACTGCCGGCGGCGAAGTTTCGAAAGTTAAAGCCGCCGAACCCGCCGCTGTTGGCGGCGCCGTTGTTCCCGCCGCCATTCCCGCCGCCGCCACCCTTACCAAAGCCTTGGAAGTTCTTAAAGCCGTTGAAGCCGCCAAAGCCTCTGTTGCTCGAGCCGCCATCGCTGTTCGACTGAGAACTGCTGCTGCCGCTGTTGCTGTTGCTGCCGCTGCTGTCGCTGCTACTACCGTTACCGTCGCCGCTGCCGCTGCCGCTGCCGCCGCTGTCGCTGCTGGTGCCGGCGTTGGCGCCGTCTCGTGCGGTGCCGGCGGGTTTCGTCCAATTGATGCCGTCCGAGCCGGAACCGGCGCAGCGGACCGCCAAGGGCGACCCCCTTAATCTGCACACGAGCAGAAAAAGCAGCAGAGAAATCGGTTAGAGGCGATTCAGAACGGTACGGAGAAGGCGAGGAGAATGATGGTTGCAAGAAGAGGGAAGAAGCTGAGGGAAGGGAGGGGCAGCGCAGCGTACCTCAAGAGCGGTTGCCGCCCGCAGGAAAGCGGGCGGCCCGTCCCCGCGCGCGCACTTCCGCTTCCGCTTCCGCCAATCACTGCGCCCGATCCTTCCGCTCCCGAGCTAAGCGCTCGCGGCGGTGAGATCCGAAGCGCGTCCCACGGCAGTAACGGCGGGTGAGTTGCGACAGACGACAGTGGTCGATCGTGCCGAGAACTAGCCACGTGGAAGCAGCAGCTAGAGCAGCAGATGGAGCCGCGTCGCCGAGACGCCGTTCTCGCGTCGGGAACTGTCCTTCTGCTTGAGCCCGCCACGTCATAAGACCCTCTCGAGTCAAAATGCGCGTGGCTTGATATTACCGGCGCTGGAACCGCGCGGTCAGCGGAAGCGGGGACGGGAAGGGACCGCGGGAGAGCCCCTGCGCGGGTTTCTCCCAGCCGCGCAACCCCGATTTCTGCGCATACAGGCGCCATGTGCTGCGCGGAACACTGGTATGATAGCCTATATCGCGCGAGTATATAAAGGATGTACCAACAACGGGGGGATTTGCCTACTTAGATAGCGGCTGATGCGCTAATTGGCGTCCGAGAAACGTCTCATGCGACTTCTCGGCTGCGCCGCGGAATCAAAGAGGCGGAGCTGGTCGCAGCTCCTAGCAGGCGGTAAGGCACGAACCCAGTCCGCGAAGCAGCTTGTGCTGTTTCGGATGGGCTAATAAGCTGGCTGCTGCACTAAATAATCCGTAGTGATCGCACCGTCCAAGTTTATGCATGTGAGTGATGAGGCATTTGTCGCATTTACAGAGAGTCGCCCACTCGCTTTGGTGGCGGGAGGAAAAGGTGGTGATGAAGATGGTGCATTTGTGAACACGAGCGCGGCGTAGTGTACGGCTAGGTTGGGGGGAGTGAGTGAGGCTATATTGTAACAGGTTTGAATTTGCCGTTACCACATATTGTCGCACACTTTCGCATCTCTTGCTTTCTCCAGCAGATCAGTGTGGTTAGGTATGCGCATTGCGTGTTACCGAGGGTTCCAGTGTGGTGATGTAGCTTGGTATTTGAAATTATCCACCAGCAACGTTTCGTGCGATGCAACCGAGGGAAGTGCAAATGGCGGGAAGATGCGAAACGAATATTTCCTGCGTGGCACAGCTTTCGAGCCTATCAAATTTCTCCGTAACACAAGGGAGGCTAGCTCCTAGGCTGTTATGATGTCATCTCTTGCAACCTGTCAGTGTTTCAGATAACGATGACTGCAAGTTCATGCATCTGTGCTGAGTACGCCCTAATAGTTTCACTCTTCACTCTATATGGGAGATGCCCAACCCGAGTTGTAACAATTTTCCATAATGTGCCTCTTCCACATAGAATAGCTGGGAATTTCAACATGCCCCCTTCTCTTATAAGGAATAAGCAAATCCATAATAGTCGGTGTTTGTTTAGTAGTTTACATGAAATCCCATGAATGATGGCGCATTGCGTTTGTACCGGGTTAGTACTTCCACGATAGCTCACTGACGCCTCTGACTTATCGCTGACACCCACGGTTCGCTGGTTGGCTAGTTAAAAAGTGGGAAGGGATCTTTCCGCATGTCATGGGTATCCAGCCAGTCATTTAGCGCTGTCAACGCGCACGAGCCAGCGTGGTTTTGTGTCAGCCTCGTCAACGACACGTGGCGGTAAGGTCAAGCCGCCACACCGCGTTTTTTGCTTTGGAAAACCTTGGTTGGGCGCGAAGAGAAGGGAGACATTCATCAGCCAGCTTTGCCAGACGGAACCTCGACAGAAAGCATGTTCACTCCGTCGATCTGACGTACGTCGGCCCAAACCCGATCAATCTCAAGCTTCGTCCCACCAGGACAATTTCTCGTCCAATATCAACCGTCGATCTCTCACACGAAATGCTCGCCGTCAGTCAAGTCAGCCGCTCGGGCACACCGCCGCCACCCTGAACAGAACCAAACCAAACCGAACCACATTTCCTGAAATGCGTAGGTTACCAAACGTGCCCGTTTGCCTCGTCAGCTCAACCCAACCCACCCTGACCCCACCCCACCTCCCACCCAACCAGATTCCTCCGAAACGTACAACCTCCCCGGAAACCAAACGCAACCGAACGGTATCGAGCACCAATACTCCAGCCGTTCTTTGCGCTCTCCGCTGGATCTCTGCATGGCACCGTGGCATGCCATCGGTCCAATCTCCATGTTCCATCCCAACCCATTCTGTCCCGTCTCGACCTTCGAAGGTGGAAGCTCCATTCCATTCCCAGTCCCAAGCCAACACAATCTTCAACCACCCAGCATCAATTCCTGACACTTCACCTCCTCCTGTGTCACATCTCATCTCATCCCTTCTTTCCTTCCCTCCCATCCCATCCCATCCTCTCATCACCCTCCTTTCTTCCTGGCACTGTGCCTTTGGTGTGCCAACCACTTTTGTCATGCGGTCTTGTCCTGCATCATTCTTTGCAAGCAAGGTTCTTGCAAGTGTCCGCGGGTCAACCTATTTCAGCGTGACGAAGTCATACGTACCCTTCGTGTGGTGGAGTAATGGCTGGTGAAAATTCAAGGTTATGTGGAGAGGGTAGATTATGCCGTGATCTCATCTATTATTAACAACTAAAAACCTTGACTTAGTAAACTCCCTGGACTTACCATCAAATCTAACCCCTGTATATTCCAGGCGATCGAATTCGCCACCACTACAACTGCTGAATACATCGTCGTCCTCTTCCCCTTTTATCCTTCAGAGAATATAATCAAGTGCCTTTCGCCACTAACACAGTCGGCCGCGTACCTGCAGTTCAGATACGATCGATTGAACGTTCGATACTTGACTGGTCGTTACTAGGCTTGAGAACCGCCTTGTTTCCTGAAGTTTACACGTAGGGACGAGCAAGGTTGGAGACCTTGAATTTGGGGTGCGGGAGCACATTTAGCGGTAGTTTAGAACAAGTTCTTGAAGCCGCGTAGTTTACAAGTGAGCGAAGCAGTCGTCAGTGAAGAACAGCTGATCCCAACTAACATTTCTTTAGGTTGTGGTAATCCTCGTCACGGACCCGGACCAAAGATCCAGTTCTCCAAACGCGTATCCTTTCTCCGTCAGCCATGGGTGCGGAGTTTTCGAAACACGTGGATCGGCTATTGAACGAAGCGGAGGTATACCAGCTAGCAGTGCAGTCAACCTTTTCAGAGTACGCCAAATTGCCTCCAGAAAGCGTGGTAGGAGGAGGAGGAGGAGGAGGAGGCGAGTCTGCCGTGACAGGCACGAGAGCAGCGACGAAAGAAGGATTCGCCGCGAAACGACCAGCCACAGCGGAGGATGATGTAGGCTCAGTCTCGCCTTCCCCTGCTTCGCGTCCGTCGGTTGCTGCTGGATCTCCTGGGGTGGAACAGCGTTACTTGTTGGAAGCAGCACAAGTCGTCATCAAGGTGCGATTACTCTGCTCTCCGTTAGTGTCACTTATTCCGTGGGTCGTCTTTATTTCTCACCGCTTGTTCCCGTCCGCTCTTCATTGATCCTCCCTTTTTCAAACCCCCTCCCACCTTTCCCCCTCTCAGAAAGTATCCGCTAAGATGGATCCTTGGGCCAGCCGTCTGTGCCTCCGTCCCCCAACCAAGCGCGACTGCGAGTACGTCCTCTTCCTCTTCCCCTCGCTCGCCGCCTCCGCCTTCCTCACCCCAATTCGAAACCTTTGTGCGCGCGGTCGTCAAGCGCGTGGCCGTGGACAAGGGCCGGAGACTGCTGCTGTTCGTGGCGGGAGGGGTGATGATGGTGCATACCATCAAAGGGACCATCCGCAAGCTGCCTCTGGTTGGCGCGCCGGTGGCCATGGTGGTTAGTGCGGTGTTTCCTACGTCCGTTGTGGGCCCGGCTGTGGGTGTAGCAGGGGCGCTGATGGTGGAAGAGCGGAAGCGGTTGAGGTGAATAGTTTTTTATTTTTTGTAAGCGCTGGATCTATTGGCGAGGGGAGGGGAGGGGAGGGGAGGGGCTTTAGAACAGGAAGGCGAGGAGTAAAGGGAGAAGGACGAGGAGGGGGATGGCGGGTGAGCGCTAAGTTGAGGGACGTGTATGATAGAATTAGGGAATACGGAGTAGAAAGGGAGAGGAGGGGTGGGAAAAAGTGGTGAGGAGGGGAATACTGTTGTTGCCGTAAGGATCCTAGAGGATCTAGTTTAGGACCACAATGGAGAGGGTCGTTGGAGGAGTTTGGACGAGGGAGTGTGGATGGGTGGTGAGGATTGGAGACAGACAAGTCAGCTGTGTGCCGTACACTACTTGTGTGCGTTGTGATGGTGTACTGTGTCTGTTTCACGTTCGGGAGTTGGAATGGAGGCATGTGTGTGCATGGGTATGTGCATGTCATCTCTCTCTCTCTCTCTCTCTCTCTCTCTCTCTCTCTCTCTCTCTCTCTCTCTCTCTCTCTCTCTCTCTCTCTCTCTCTCTCTCTCTCTCTCTCTCTCTCTCTCTCTCTCTCTCTCTCTCTCTCTCTCTCTCTCTCTCTCTCCAACTATTCCCTTAAACTCGCGCCTTCTCTCCCACCCACCTCCTGACCCTCCTCATTGTTTACCTTTCAAACGCTTCCCCTGCCATCCGCCTCCCTCCATCTCCCTGTCATTGCCATCATCTGTCGTTCCTTCCGTCCCTTGTGGATTCCACCCGGTGTTCCATACATCCGCACATCCGTGTACATGTGCCAGCTATGCCATCGCATTTGTGCCACTGTTGAGCGACTAATCCACATGGCTTGTGGGAGCAGACTCGCAGTACAGCATCCCAATCCCATCTTTCATTCTAAAATATTCTCCAAGCTTGACCGCCTCGCCAGTCACCCCCATCCATCGCCTTTGCCCAGTCACCGCCCATCATCCATGGCAACTGACCATTTCCGTTCAACCTCAAACAGAGTTGCTCTCTGTCTGCCAGGAAAAGGATTGCTCGGGTCAAGCAGCTAGCTGTGCCAAGAGCCAAGCTTCCCAAGGAGGTCCATAGCCACTCACAGAGTCAGTCTTGTCTGACGTGTTCCAAGCAACACGCTTTTGACGTAATCTTGTATCAACAGTCATAGACTGTCATTTGGGATCAGTTTTGGATGCTTTACCCCTTTTTGGAATGATCAAAGCATGTTGGATATCAGAATGCTGGAGCATTTCTTTGAAGTACGCAGATAACAGAAGGGTCCTTAGATGTTTGAAAGTGTTTGTGCCTCTACCGCTCCGAAGCTTGCATGAGCGTTCTGAACCGCGGCAAATGTTTCCTCCAAAGGTTTGGGCCATCCACCAATCAGTCAGAGATTTGTCAGCACCAGAATGCGCTGACCAAAGCCGCCAATAACTTCCAACCAGGCATGGCACCGCATGGCAGGTCACGCCAGCTCGGCGCTTTTCCTTGGATACGTCACATCAGCCGGCGGCTTTTCGCTGGTGTCAGTCAGAACTCGCGGGCTGTGTCACACCACGTCAGACCAGCGCTTCCGAAAATGACGGCTCGTCACGCCAGAAAATTGTGGGTCATGATTCTTCATGGCTCACTCCCATGCGGACATTGTTGACCAGCACAAGCCAAGGGGTCTTGCTTTAGGCACGGTCAAAAAGCTGTGTTTTTACAGTAATCTGACGCTTGCCACCAATTTCCTTGCTTTGTTTCAAGCCTAAAATTGCATACAAAATCCTAAATGCAGGGTGAATCTGAGTAAACGAGGGCAGTACAAATGTTTCTTGTATCCTTTAGAACCCTGTCTTTTCCGCATCGCGAGGCGGAATCAAAGGGCTGGCTGAGCCCAGGGCAATGTGAGCGTGCCAAGGCGGCTAGTCGTCATTGCGGAATGGAAGTGACGCGCACGAGTGAGGTGAGGGGCCTCCTCGCTTCACCTCACCTCAGCTGATATACAGTACAGTGCACGTAGCAGTACAGTGCACGTAGCGGGTTGAAACGAGGCAGTTTTGTACACAGCAGCACTAGCAGCAGCAGCAGCAGCAGCAGCAGCACAGCTCCATAGATTGAAAGCAGGATGTGGTGGATGGATAAAACTTTCTGTGTCAAGATAGTTCCGCATTCCATCTATCATTCTGTATTACCTGCTTTCCGCCGACCATTTTTCTCGTTGATACCGTGTTCGGATTATCTGTCTGAAAGTACTCGCATACACCTTGAGGGCTGCTAGCGTGGGAAGTGCAAAGCGTTCACAGATTCGAGTTTGTTTAGTGTTAGTGGCCATACATAGAGTAACAAACGCTGTCAGCACGACACGCGAAGTGTCGACCGATCAATTCATCCGTATAGAAGGAAGCCTTCGCCCGTGGATCTATCCCTTCCATTCCCAGCGACCGGCGACCAGCGACTGTGTCCGTACCTGCAGCTTTATCTCTGTTATCTCCTCCCAAGGCTGCATGGTTTCTTCCGCGATTCAGAGTCTGCTGGCTCGCCCTGCATCGCGAAGCCAAGTCCGTGACTTTGGTAATGCGCAGGTGGATATAATCCGTGATCCTTGATTCGTGGTTGATGATTCATGATTCGCGTCCAATGTTTTTCCTTTGCTATCTTCTCAGAAGGGATGCGTGTTGTCTTGTTGACCAAAATATGCATGTTTGCCGGCCCTTGTCGAGGTTTATTAGCCATTTTCAAATAAATCATGACCTGCCGGTCTCGTGGTAAAAAAAAAGTAACGACGGACATCCTTACGCCCTTTGCGTTACCAGTTTAACTCAGACACGTTCACTTGACAGTTCGCCTTTCGCGCGGCACTTCACGTTCCATGAATCCAAATTGTGCGTCGAATCCGACAATGGCGGTGTAATTCAGAAGCACCTCGACCGATCTCGTTCTTTTTCTTTCGTTCGTTCGTTCCTCATTCGTTTCTTTTCCATTCTCTCGCAGATGACTCATCAGCGGAGGCCTTAAAGACCGTCCAGCGCCAGGCGGCATCGGCATCGGCATCAGAACCACCATCGCATCCACCTAGAGTCGCCGCTTCTTACGAGGACGATGGCCTCATCTGGAGCTGCCCTCTCGCTCCTCACCCCACCGGTACGAACCAGCTGTTGAATGAATGAATGTGCGTCCGTCGTGCACTACGACTCACACAAGTCCACTACGACGCCGCACGGTGGATCAAGTCCACCGCAGAGCGCCCAACAGTAACGCCTCTAGCCAGAACCCTAACGGAGTCCTTCTTCCCGTCTCTAGAAGTATCTGCATCGGCCTTGTTTTATGATCATTCTGCCATCAGTCCTTCCGCCAACATTTAGTTTTCACTCTTTAAAACGCCGTGACACCGTGACGACCAGATATCCCGGTTTCTCGGCAGTGCGGTCTTCTAGTTGAATTCCTTTTTCCGCTCGCCACGTGATCCCGCCGTTCACATAACCTTCTTTTCTTTTCTTGACCGATGCAAATCCCTTCTCGTGTTATCTTCTCACCTCCGTCCTCCCCGAACGGCGAGTCGCCGTGTCGCCACAGGCGAGGTGTCGCTGGCCCTCGCGGACGGCAACATAGCGTGCAAGGGCCAGCGTCACCGTAGTGTGCGAGGACTTCAGTCGGGTGGACGTGGCTCCTTCGGCACTTCTCGTCGCCGATTTTTGATGAATCTTCGGAGCCCCAGTCATCATCTTTCCTCCTCCCTCCCTCCCCAACGCTGCCATGTCGCCACAGGCGAGGTGTCGCTGGCCCTCGCGGATGGCAACGTGGTGTGCGAGGACTTCAGTCGGGTGGACGTGGGCCCCTTCGGCACGCTCGTCGCCGTGTTTGACGGCCATGGCGGCCCGCACGCCGCGCGATTCGCGGCGGACAGCCTCCTCGGCCACGTGCATCGTGAGTGCCGCCGTGCCGTGTTTTGTGTGGGACGCGGCCAGGCCGTCTTGATTGGGAGGCGCTGTTTCATGAGTACGGGTCCTTCGCGGCTCCTACTTCCTTCGCATGGATCCCTTAACACGCGATTTTAGCATTTCCGTTCCGAATTTTAAATCCTCCTGATGACTTCGTCTGTACAAATCTAGACTTGTTGTGTCCTCCTGATACAAATTTATTGAACAATCATAACCCCGCCTTGCTGTCTTTTTTCGAACAGGTGCGCTTGGAACAGGGTCCTTTCAAGAAGCAGAGGAGCGAAGCCGCGGGGCTAGCGTGGGGGGAAGAAGCGTGCGCGATGGGAACGGAAGCACGCATGGTGGTGGCGGCGGTATGTGCGGCCGAGACGGAGGAGAAGGGAATCTTCCAAGGCCGGGTGATGATGACGCATCAGCGCGTGCGGAGGTTGCCTCTGGGATAGATTTCGAAAGAAGACACGGAGCAGCAGCAGTGCAAAGAGAGGCAGCGCGGGAGGAAGCGCCAGCAGTATCAGCAGGAGCAACAGTAGTACCAGCAGTATCAGCAGTATCCCCCACGCCAGCGAGTTCGCCAGACTCCCATCTGTCTGCCGGCGAGCCCATTGCGAACGACGACGAGCGCGTGTGCAGCGCCATTCTGTCCGCGTTCGAGTCGACCGAAGCGGACCTCCTCGCGCTGGTGCGCGCCGCGTGGCAGCACCGCCCCGAGCTCGCCTGCTCGGGCACCTGCGCGCTCGCCGCCTTCTTCCCCGCGCACGGCGCCTCCGCCTTCGTCGCGTCCCTGGGCGACTCGCGCGCCGTGCTGGGAAGGCGGCGGCCGCTAGTGGGAGGACTGCTGGATAGCGCGCAAAGTGCGTTTGGGGGGATGGGGTTGGGGCTGGGCTGGGGTGCGGATGCTGGTGGTAGAGGGAGTGGGAGTGGTGGCAAGAGCAAGGGGTGGCGAAGCAAGGGGAGGTTTCATAGTTGGGGTGGTGATCATTCCCAAAAGAGCAGCTCCAGCAACAGCATCGGAGACGGTGGTGGTGGTGGTGGCGGCAGCGGCAGTGGTGGCGGCGGTGGTAAAAGTCGTTTGGTGAGGATTGATAGTGGTAGCAGTGACAGCAGTCGTGCCAGCAGCGGCAGCTGGAGCAGCAGCAGTAGAAGCAGCGACTTGGGTGGTGGGGGTGATGGTGGTGGGGCGATGGCGTTTCTGAGCCGGTGGATGGGCGGCGTAACAGCCGTTCCTCTATCCGAAGAGCACAACGCAAGCCAGGAGCGGGAGAGGCAGCGTCTACAGCAGGCACATCCCGGCGACCCCACAGTCGTGATGCACCGCAACGGAGCGTGGCGCGTCAAGGGAATCATCCAGGTCACGCGCTCGCTCGGCGACTTCTACTTAAAGCACAGGGAGTTTCAGCAGTCGCCGCTGCCGAGGCGGTTTTGTTTGGACCATCTGGGGTTGTCCCCGGGGGTTGCGCTGCGGCGGCCGCTGCTGAGGAGTGACCCGAGCGTGGTGCAGGTGCGCGTGGGGGAGGAGGACCGGTTTGTCATCCTGGCCTCGGACGGCCTGTGGGAGCACGTGAGCCGCGCTGAAGCAGTCAAGCTGGTCGACTCACGGCCAAGACAGGTGTGTATGGACTGGGGTGGGTTTGGGTGGGTTTGGGTGAAACAGGTGCGCGTGGGGGAGCAGGACCGGTTTGTCATTCTGGCCTCGGACGGCCTGTGGGAGCACGTGAGCCGCGCCGAGGCTGTCAAGATGGTTGACTCGCGCCCAAGACAGGTGCGTACGGGCTGGGGTGGAAGGGCGGGGAGGATGGGGCGGCCGGGTTTAGGGTTGAGGGGGAGGGGAGATTGGGGGCGAGAGAATAGGGAGGCTGGGAGGTGTTGGGAGGGGTTTTCTGGAGAGGGGGGGAAGCAGCGAGCCAGAGCCAGACTTGACAAAGCAATCTTTCTACAAGCTGTTCAGGGTTGATTTGTAAATCACCAGACGTCCTTCAGCTGACCTCTCCATGTTGTCTCTGCCGAATCTCTTGCTTCCCTCAGGGCATCGCGCACTACCTCGCGCGCACGGCTGTGTCGCGAGCAGCGCGCAAGGTGGGGCTCAGCCTGCTGGAGCTGCGGCTGCTGGAGCCCGTGCACAGGCGCAAGGTGTATGATGATATCACCGTGGTTGTGGTGTTCCTGGATAAGAACATCCCTGCAGCTGCTCCTGCAGCTGCTGGTACAGGTGCAGGTGCAGGTGCAGGTGCAATGGTGTCTGCTGCTGTTTCGCTTCCTAAAGGTGGCAATGGTGTGGAAACGGGGGAACCGTGGAGCGCTGGTGACAGTGTAAGGCCTGCAAGTGTGAGCAGCAGCAGTGAGAGCAGCACCAGCGAGGGCATGGATCTCACTGGGGTGGACAGCGCCAAGCTCAGCATCAGCAGCAGCTCCAGCAGCAGTGTGGTTTCCCCTGAGAGCTTATCTCCCAGATCGCCTCACCCAGTTCCTCCTCCTCCTCCTGCTGCTGCCCCTCCCGCTCTCAGTGTCGCTGGCGCTGTTCCTGCAGCTGATTCCCATCCTCTTGCCTCTGTATCCTTGGGAGCTGCAAGTGTTCCTGTGTCCTCCTCGCCCCCTGCTGATGACTCTCCTGTGGTGCCCCAGCCGTCAACTCCCCACCAGGCGGGTGTGACGAGAGGACGAGCACCACAGGTTGTTGAGGTGATGGCACGTGGTTCGGCAGCTGTGCTCTCCATCCGTGGTTGCTGGCAGTGATTGTTAAGAGTCGAGGACGAGGTGTTGCGGGCGGTGTCTTGTTTGTGCGACATGTGAGGCGCGGTTGAGGGTTTTGGACAAGTGAATGCGGAATAAGGCAGTGTGAAGTGCACAAGGTTCCTGCTTATGAAGTCGTTTCTGCTTTTCTTTCCATGTATTTAGCACCGTTCATTGTTATATTTCATAATCCAATGCACACCATGCCTGTGAAAAGTCACTAAACGTGGCTTGCTCGATGTGTAGCTACTTCGCCCCGAGCTATTAATGCACGACTACCTCAGTTGTTGACATTTACACATCGAGCCTTGTTTTGGCACGGCATGAGCCTGCCCCACCTTATTTTACACATGATGCCTGTTCATTCTACTAAATGTTGAATGTGCTCAGACTTGATAGCTGAGGTGTCTTTCCAGTAATGTGCAACTACAGTTTTAGAATGACCAAACATGATGAAATACTCAATAGTTTTACCGAGGCTCTTGTTAGGGACCAACCGCGTTCCCTCCCAACCAAACCAGTTTGATTGGACGCAAGGGGAATAGTGTGCAGGGCCTGACGAGGCACATATCATGGTACAGTACGTTTCAGTGAGGCTACACTGGGCCTTGGGGAACTCGCATGGCACATGGATGTGTGCATCTCGGCTGCCTCTCACCAGATCACACTTTGTGATTGGCCAATTGTGACTGCCCAGAACAGATGGAGTATACAAAGGTTGGGAATCTTTCATTGCGGTTTATAAAGGTAATGAGACATTTGGCGGGAGATCGTGTCTTGTGTGAGAATGTCGGCGGACAGGCGGTTATTGTCTCGGGCGGAATATGCTCTCCGCTTGGCCCGAGCCCGAGACAAACAAGCAAAGGAGTTTTCAGGGGTTAGGCAACTCCTAGTATGATTCAGTACGATAAATCATGGTTACAATGGTGATGGCCAGATAATCGCAACAAAAGAATGTCTGCTGGATGCACATCCCCCCTAAAAACTTTCCGCTTCGCCCACCAAAGTTGCACCGTCAATGGCCATACGTCTCATGATTATTGCCTCTGGTGGCCTCTGCTTTCCTCTGCTCATATTTCCTCGTCGAATTCACAGCTAACATGCCCTTCCTACTTCCCCGAGTCCCTCCAGCTTCACGGCTGCGTTGCGCTGTACATCTGCGGATTTCCCTCCTAAATAGTGCTTGCATGTGATCCGCCTCTTCAATCTTCCCTGCTTCCGCTTCCTGGGCTTATATGCCGCGCGATCTGCGCGCGACACTCCCCTGCGTCGCAAGCTAGCTGGCTCACTTAGTCGGGCAGGGGCGCTCCTCCTTCTCCTGCTCCTGCTCCTGCTCCTGCTCCTGCTCCTGCTCCTGCTCCTGCTCCTGCTCCTGCTCCTGCTCCTGCTGCTCCTGCTCCATCTCCTGCTCCGTTTCCGGCCCCTTTCCCCCCCATATTCAAAATCCACGAGGCAGCTCGCGCGTTGAACTCCGTCATACCATTTCAAAACGTCTACTAAGAACCCTTTCTCCGTTTAGGAGTCCAAGTCTCCCTCCCCCCTCCCCCCATGAGCACATCATTCACCTCCTCCTCCAATCCTGCACGCCGAATTGCGCCGCTCTCCACCCAGGGATGGGCTGGCGTCGGCGGAAGGGGAGCGGGGGCGGCCGCGCCCGGAGGCGGAGGCGGAGGCGGAGGCGGAGGAGGAGGGGGAAGTCCGCGACACGCGGCAAGACGGGCCATGCTGCGTCGGCGCGCGTTGGCGGCGACGGCGCTGCTGGTCCTGGTGGGCGTTGCCGTGGTCGTTCCGTCGTACACGTGGAGCTCTAACCGCAACTCGCGGCCCGAAGCTGATAGGTGAGCGGCGGTCCTCGCAGCCAATCGGTGCTCGCCATCAATCGCTGCCCAGATCCCATTGAACTTCTGCCCTTGTTTTTCCCACTTTTTAATCAGCACCCACTGGTTTTCCCTCTGATATGACACGGGGTTCCAGCTCTCCCTCTTCGATTCCCCTCTCTCGCTCCCTCCCTTCCCCCCTCTCTCCCTCTCCCCCTCTCTCCCTCTCCCCCTCTCTCCCTCCCCCTTCCGCTTCCATGTCCCCCCTCCGTCCCCCCCCTCCCTCTTCCTCTCTTCCCCGTCTATCACCTCCCTTACCCTGGTCAGCAGCGGCGTCAGTGCGAAGTTATTGCTAGCTCAAATGCTCGGCCTACCAGGAGCCAAATGCGCTCACAACACCAGCAGCAGCAGCAGCAGCGGCGGCTCGGACGCGCAGTTTGGGGGGGGGAAGATGCGCAGCGAGGGGGCAGCAGCAGCGGCGGCGGCGGCGGCAGCGGTGGCGGTGGCGCGGGGAGCGGGGCGTGCAGCAGTGGAGCTGGCGCTTTGGGGGGACGAATTGGAGGACGATGTGGATGGCTATGGTGAGTGTGAGGGAGTCTAAGTTTGAGGGATTACGTCGAGTGTGAGTGTGCGAGTGTGAGTGTGCTGATTAATTGGATTATTAACGCAGGGTTCATGGACTCACACGTTTGTGTGTGTGTGTGTGTGAGTGTGTGTGTGTGTGTGTGTGTGTGTGTGTGTCTGTGTGTGTGTGTGTGTGTGTGTGTGTGTGTGTGGGTGTGTGTGTGTGTGTGTGTGTGCGTGCGTGCGTGTGCGTGCGTGCGTGTGCGTGCGTGCGTGCGTGGGTGTGTGTGTGGGTGTGTGTGCGTGTGTGCGTGCGTGCATGTGCGTGTGTGTGTTGCCAAAACTAAAGCAAGAAACAAATCAGCCTTCACTTCTTCGGGAATTGCTTAAAGGCTTCGTTACACCCTATCCCCCGTCTTCTCCCCCTCTCCCTCCCCCTCCCCCCCTTCCCCCTCGCTGCTCCCTCTCTCCCTCATCATGCAGCTCAGCGCATAAGCTCCCCTTACATCTTCAAACCATTCAATTTCTTAGGCGCCGCAAAATTCTTTCCCTCCTTAACTCCACCGCTCCCCCTCCCCCCCTCCACTGGTCCCCCTCCCCCTCTTCCCCATTACGCAGCTGAGCGCATGCGCTCCCCTTACATCTTCGAACCATCTGGTTACCCCCCTTGGATCTTTCCTGGTACTGATTCTGCTGCTGCCACCGCCCCTGCCAATCCCCGGGACAACCAGACAATAGCAGCAGCAGAAGCAGCGGAGGAAAGCGCAGCAGTTGTGGAGTGGAGGGAGGGGTTGGATAAGGCGGATTTGAAGTGCGAGAATTTCTGGGGGGATGGGTACTCAGAGGTGCACACTTTGCTAGGCATGCCCCCTGTTGGCACTGTCCCTCATGCCCCATTGGATGAGAACAGTGCGGATGGGGAGAACGCGGATGGGGGGAACGCGGATGGGGGGAGCGCGGATGGGGGGAGTGGTAAGGCAGGCGGAGGGGGAGGCGGAGGATCAGGAGGAGGAGGAGGAGGAGGAGGAGGAGGAGAAGGGGGGGAGAGCGGAGAGGTGTGGGTAGCCGGGCGGAACGAAGAGAAGGGGGGCGACGGGTGGTTGCGATGCGTACGCAACCCTACGCTGGAGTCATCCGTGTGTGAGGCAGGAATGCTGGGCGTTTTCCCAGATAAGATGCTCATGGCGCGCGGGGGAGAGGAGATCAGAGACGTGATGGGGCGGATAGAAGACGAGGAATACCCCATGTGTGAGGAAGGGGCGTTCCAGGTGCTGCTGAGGGGAGTGGTGGAGGAGAGAGGTGGCGGGGTTGGGGGAGGGATGAGGCGGGGCTTGGGCGAGACGGGAGGGGTGGGGGGAAGTGGGGGAGCTGAGGGGGGGAAGGGGGGAGGTGGGAAGGGAGAAGGGGGTGTGGCAGGGGGGGGAGGGGGGACGTTGGCGGTGGGGATAGCGCCGGCACGGATAGAGGCGCTGGTGAGCGATGTTGGCAACACACGGGATCTGCTGCGGAGCGTGCGCACTGCTGATCGGATCAAATGTGGCGTGGTGAGTGCGTGGGTGTGCGTGTGTGTGTGAGCGAGTGAGAGTGTGCGTGAATGAGTGAGTGTGTGCGTGTGTGTGTGTGTGTGTGTGTGTGTGTGTGAGTGCGTGACTGTGTGCCTTTCGGAAATGATCAAAAGTGGCTCGGGGGGGCCGGGGGGTTGGGGGGAGGGGGGGGGGGGGGTTGGGGTGTTGGCGGTGGGAGTAGCGCCGGCACGGATAGAGGCGCTGGTGAGCGATGTTGGCAACACACGGGATTTGCTGCGGAGCGTGCGCACTGCTGAGAGGATCAAATGTGGCGTGGTGAGTGCGTGTGTGGGTGAGTGAGTGCGTGCGTGCGTGCATGCGTGCGTGCATGTGTTTGTTTGTTTATCTTGAGATTTCTCAAATGTGCGTGCAGCGCACCCATCAGTCACACACCTCTTTCCCTGCCTCCCTGCACCCACTCCACACCACACCCCACCCCACCACACTCCACACCACACCATACCCGACCCACACCCCACCCCACCACACCACCTTGCAGGTGGAGCGGCGGCCAGTGCTGCTGGTGACGCGGTACGAGTACGTGAACATATACCACACCAGCACGGACTGGCAGAGCGCCTTTCACGCCATGCCATGCGCCTTTAAGACGTCTTGAAATCCCCACCCCACCCCACCACTCCACTCCACTCCACTCCACTCCCCATCAGGTGGAGCGGCGGTCTGTGCTGCTGGTGACGCGGTACGAGTACGTGAACATATACCACACCAGCACGGACTGGCAGAGTGCTTTCCATGCCATGCGCCTGCTGCACATCTCCGTGCGCCCTCTTGTGGTCTTCCTGGACGCGCATGCCAAGGTGGGGACCGCGGGTGTGCGGGAGTGCGGGGGTGGGAGTGTGTGGAGGGGCATGGACGGACTGGCAGAGTGCTTTCCATGCCATGCGCCTGCTGCACATCTCCGTGCGCTGCGCCCTCTCGTGGTCTTCCTGGACGCGCATGCCAAGGTGGGGACGGTAGGGAGGGGTGGGGGGGTTCTGGGGAGGGGGTGCTGGGGTTTGGGGGAGCACATCGAAATCACTTTTGAGGATTCTCAAAAGTGATTGGGGTATGGGGGGGCATGGACTGGCAGAGTGCCTTCCATGCCATGCGCTAGCCTGCTGCACATCTCCCTGCACCCGATTGTGGTCTTCCTGGACGCGCATGCCAAGGTGGGCAGGGTCGGGAGGGGTGCTGGCTGGCTGGGTGGCTGGCTGGTGCTTTGAGAAGAGAAGGGGGGAACCGATCACGGACTGGCAGAGTGCCTTGCACGCCATACTGCCACAGAGCAGGCGCATGGCGTGGGGGTGTGCGAGGGGTGTGGGAGGGGTGTGGGAGGGGTGTGGGAGGCTGACTTGCAAGTCGCCTCAAAACTCTTTCTCTGCCCCTGTACGAAACCAACAGGGCAAACTAGACGAGGCGTGGGCGACCTTGCTCTTTCCCAAGCTCTCCCTTCCTCCCATCCTCACTTTTTGAGGCGCCTCAAAAAAACTAGACGAGGCGTGGGCGACCCTGTTCTTTCCCAAGCTATCCCTTCCTCCCATCCTCGTCTTATATCATTTTGTGAACAGGGCAACCTAGACTCTGCGTGGGCGACGCTGTTCGGGCCGTACCGCTTCCCCAAGGAGTACCAGCAGCACCTGCCCTTTAGGTGGCTTGTGAATCGACTGAATTGTTCCTCTCCGCCCCTGTACAAAACCAACAGGGTAACCTGGACGAGGCGTGGGCGATGCTGTTCGGGCCGTACCGCTTCATCAAGGAGTACCAGCAGCAGCTGCCTAACGCCTTCACTATCATCCCCATCGCCCACCCCTCCCCACCCGTCCACCAACAGGGCAACCTGGACGAGGCATGGGCGACGCTGTTCGGGCCGTACCGCTTCATCAAGGAGTACCAGCAGCACGTGCCTGCCGACTGCGCGGTGTGCTTCCAGCACGCGGTGTTTGTGCCCGTGGGGTACGCCACGCCCATCTTCCACTCCTACGTCAAGGAGAGCCTCCCAGTGCGGAGGTGCGTGTTGCATTGGGGTATGAGAGAGAATGATAGAGAGAGTCAGTTTTAAGGAGTTACCGGCCCTGATAGGAGACTGCTTGCTCTAAGGCCATGAGAGAGAGTCAGTGTCAGGGAGTTACCGGCCCTGATAGGAGGCTGCTTGCTCTAAGGCCATGAGAGAGAGTCAGTGTCAGGGAGTTACCGGCCCTGATAGGAGACTGCTTGCTCTAAGGCCATGAGAGAGAGTCAGTCTCAGGGAGTTACCGGCCCTGATAGGAGACTGCTTGCTCTAAGGCCATGAGAGAGAGTCAGTGTCAGGGAGTTACCGGCCCTGATAGGAGACTGCTTGCTCTAAGGCCATGAGAGAGAGTCAGTGTCAGGGAGTTACCGGCCCTGATAGGAGACTGCTTGCTCTAAGGCCATGAGAGAGAGTCAGTGTCAGGGAGTTACCGGCCCTGATAGGAGACTGCTTGCTCTAAGGCCATGAGAGAGAGTCAGAGTCAGGGAGTTACCGGCCCTGATAGGAGACTGCTTGCTCTAAGGCCATGAGAGAGAGTCAGTGTCAGGGAGTTACCGGCCCTGATAGGAGACTGCTTGCTCTAAGGCCATGAGAGAGAGTCAGTGTCAGGGAGTTACCGGCCCTGATAGGAGACTGCTTGCTCTAAGGCCATGAGAGAGAGTCAGTCTCAGGGAGTTACCGGCCCTGATAGGAGACTGCTTGCTCTAAGGCCATGAGAGAGAGTCAGTGTCAGGGAGTTAACGGCCCTGATAGGAGGCGCGTTTACACAGTGGCAGCCAGCTAGGGTGACTGTGGGCTAGTGACAGCCAGCCAGCCAGTACAGTCGGGCCAGCAGCACGTGCCTCCCGGCTCTGCAGTGTGCTTCCAGCACGTGGTGTTTGTGCCCGTGGGGTACGCCACGCCCATCTTCCACTCCTACATCAAGGAGGCCATAGCAGTGAGGGGGTGCGTTGCGGTGTGAGACACACCCCCATCGGCTAAGTGAGGGATAGCTAGAGAGAGCAAGAAACCACAAATGACCACAAGCCCAGTCAAGAGAAACCACAAAGCAACGCTCAGGGTGGATCTCACGATCACCACACAGTCTGAGCACAAGCAAGCGGCCACAAGGCCAGTTCACATGCAGTGCAATAACAGCAAAAGCAGTACAATGATCACAACTTAGCAAGTGTACGTAATATATCAAAGTACAACTAGTACCAATCTCCAGTTCCTTGATGAAGTCTTTGGTGTGAAAGGGTGAGGAGCTGAAAGATGCATGCTCAATCATTTCATCTCCCCTCCCCTCTCCCCTCCCCTCTCCACTCCCCTCTCCCCTCCTCTCTCCCCTCCTCCCCCCCCTCTTCTCTCCCCTCCTCTCTCACCTCCTCTCTCCCTCGCCTCCTCTCTCCCTCGCCTCCTCTCTCCCTCGCCTCCTCTCTCCCTCGCCTCCTCTCTTCCTCGCCTCCTCTCTCCCTCGCCTCCTCTCTTCCTCGCCTCCTCTCTCCCTCGCCTCCTCTCTTCCTCGCCTCCTCTCTCCCTCGCCTCCTCTCTTCCTCGCCTCCTCTCTCCCTCGCCTCCTCTCTCCCTCGCCTCCTCTCTCCCTCGCCTCCTCTCTCCCTCGCCTCCTCTCTTCCTCGCCTCCTCTCTCCCTCGCCTCCTCTCTTCCTCGCCTCCTCTCTCCCTCGCCTCCTCTCTTCCTCGCCTCCTCTCTCCCTCGCCTCCTCTCTTCCTCGCCTCCTCTCTTCCTCGCCTCCTCTCTTCCTCGCCTCCTCTCTCCCTCGCCTCCTCTCTTCCTCGCCTCCTCTCTCCCTCGCCTCCTCTCTCCCTCGCCTCCTCTCTCCCTCGCCTCCTCTCTCCCTCGCCTCCTCTCTTCCTCGCCTCCTCTCTCCCTCGCCTCCTCTCTCCCTCGCCTCCTCTCTCCCTCGCCTCCTCTCTCCCTCGCCTCCTCTCTCCCTCGCCTCCTCTCTTCCTCGCCTCCTCTCTTCCTCGCCTCCTCTCTCCCTCGCCTCCTCTCTTCCTCGCCTCCTCTCTTCCTCGCCTCCTCTCTTCCTCGCCTCCTCTCTTCCTCGCCTCCTCTCTTCCTCGCCTCCTCTCTCCCTCGCCTCCTCTCTCCCTCGCCTCCTCTCTCCCTCGCCTCCTCTCTCCCTCGCCTCCTCTCTCCCTCGCCTCCTCTCTCCCTCGCCTCCTCTCTCCCTCGCCTCCTCTCTCCCTCGCCTCCTCTCTCCCTCGCCTCCTCTCTCCCTCGCCTCCTCTCTCCCTCGCCTCCTCTCTCCCTCGCCTCCTCTCTCCCTCGCCTCCTCTCTCCCTCGCCTCCTCTCTCCCTCGCCTCCTCTCTCCCTCGCCTCCTCTCTCCCTCGCCTCCTCTCTCCCTCGCCATCCCGCTCTTCCCTACAGTTGTGTGGCGGACAGCACAGCGGGTGGGCCTTCACCCTGCTTCCCCACTTTTCCTCTCCCCCCTCTCCTCCCTCCTCTCACCCTGTCTCGCACTCCCCTTCTCCTTGCACTCCCCTCCACTACACCTCTTCTCCCTCCCTCCCTCTCCCCCCACCAGGTGCGTAGCAGACAGCGCAGTGCAGGGGGCCATCAAGTGGGGCGTAACGCCATTCGGCTCCACCTCACGCGTCACTGAATTCGCCGAGTTCGTCATCAAGTCGCACGGCATAGGCCTGCACACCCCGCCCTGGGCCTTCCCGCTGCTCCCTGCCCCGCCGCCTCGGCTCCTCCCCTCGCACCTCCGCCAACGAAACGGGACGACACACGGCATTCACGAGCATGACTCGAACCCCGGCTACTCTGATAATGCCACCAGCATGGCAGGTGCTGGTGGTGGCGCTGCTGCTGCTGCGGCTTCTGCTGCTGGTTTGACTCCTTCAGAGTTCTTGTGGTGGAGGGATAGAGCACTGGCAGGGCCGTCAGTGATCAACCAACTGGGGTATTTCCCTTTGGTGGATTGGGGAATGCTGGGTGAGGGAAATCGAGCCCCGCAGCAGCAGGAGCAGCAGGGGCAGGAGGAGGGAGGGCAACAGGGGCGGCACTTGTTGTGGAAATCGGAAAGGGGAGAGGAGGGAGAGAGAGAGGAGGACATGCAAGTGGAGGAACGGTGGGAGGAGAGGCAGAGGAAGCAGCCATGGTGGCAGCACCAGCAGGAGCAGCAGCAGCAGCAGCAGCAGCAGCAGCAACAGCAGCAGCAGCAGCAAGGAGACGAGCTACAGCATGCATCAATCAACCTCCTGGAGCAGAGCGATTGGAGCCGGCCGGTGCGAGTGCTGGTGATCCGGCGAGACTTCTTTCTCGCCCACCCGCGCATGGAGAACAACGGGTGGGTGGAGGAGCGCGTGGGTGGCGTGAACGAGCTAGTGGGATCGCTGAAGCAGTGGGCGTGGGAGCGCGGCGGGCTGAGATTGTTAGATGCGGCTGAGAGGGTGGAGAGGATGGGATCGGTGGTGGATGGGGGGAATTGGTGGAGGATGAATGGGGGCAGTGGGAGGGTGAGAGGGGCGGTGGGGAGCTGGGGGTTGGGAGGTGGAGGGGATGGGGGCGGGAGGAGGAGGAGGAGGAGAAGGGAGGGAGGTCCTTCGGTTGATCCGGTTTCTGTTGTTGGGCCTGTTATTCCAGGTGATTCTGCATCTGCCGCTGCTGCTGCTGCCGCCGCTGCTGCTGCTGCTGCTAGAAGGAGAAGAGAGCAACAACAGGGGTGGGAAGGAGGAGGAGCAGGCAGGAAGAAGCGGCACAGACAGAGCAGCAGGAAAGAGCAAAGGCGGCGGGATAGGTTTGGCAGCGGCAGAGGCAAACCATTGAGCAAGCCGCAACGGAGGCAGCTGCAAATGCGTCACGCTGATTGGCTGAACCCCGATTCGACCTACGCCCCCCACCAACAGCAGCAGCAGGCTGCACAGGGAGGAGGTAGCGAGGCACAAGCAGCGGAAGGCGCAGCAGCAGCAGGAGCAGCAGCAGCAGCTTCCCCGCCGCGTCTCGTCTTCATTCTCAACGGCACCATGACAGCCTGGTCCTTCCGGCAGCAAATGGAGGCGGTATACTGGGCGGACGTGATTGTGGGTGCTCACGGTGCGGGTCTTACTCACGTCATGTTCATGCGCCCAGGATCCGCTCTTGTGGAGTTGCGGCCGATATCGGATGCGAGGGACCACTATAACCTGCTTGCGAATTACCGCGGGTTGCGGTATGTGAGAATAGAGCCGAACGATAATGGAGGTGTAGACGTGATCGATGTGACGCGGGCGTTGAGGACGTTAATGGGGGAGGAAGTTTGATTGATCAGGAAGTGAAGGACATTTCCTATGTGGCAGCTGTGGGGGGGGTGGGGGGAGGGGGGGAAGTGTGGTTGAGGAGAGTATGCAGTTTCGTAGGAGATGCTTGTAAGCTGGCAAAAACATTATGTACGGTACATGTACTAGAGTGCCGCACTGAAGAAAACAAAACTACCTGGATCCAGTTCTTGCGAGTGCCTGCCCTTTAGAAAGATTCTGACAAAGTGCTAAATTAGTTTGTACTTGCCTTTTGCACATCCCCATGTGTACCCTCATATCGGATTCTTCTCGATTATCATGCCGACCGGCTGGTTTGATTTCATTTGGCCTTGTTGTGAATGAACTTGCAGAGTGCGCAGTAAAACGAATAACGAGAATGATTGATTCCGAATGACGATACAACGAGAATGGCACGAGCAAATAAGGAAATAGCTAGCTAGGCGAAGAGGTTGGGCGAAGATGGCTTGGTGATGGATGCGGTTGGTGCGGAGGCGACTCGGGAGTGGTTCGGTGCGACGAAATAGGCCAAACAGGTTCGTCGCGTAACCCTCGGGATGTACTCTGTTAGGCCCGACGGCCTAAGTCCGCTAAAGAATTAGCGGGGTCGACTAAGTCGAGGATAAAGCGCGGCGGAAGGCTTTGGCGAAAAGACTATTGGCGAAATAGGCGAAGAAGTTACTGAGTAATTGAAAGAGAGTTGAATGAGAATTGGTTGATAATGGCAAGGTTTATATAGCGAACAAGAGAGAATGTTGGAAAGTACTTTGTGGGACTAGGAATTGGAAAGCTAGAAGAGTAGAGTGCCACGTGGCGGTTGGGAAATCTAGGAAATCCAAGGAAATCCCAAAGGGATTGGATGAAGATAGGGTTGGGATAAGGTTGGGGGTCTGTTTAGGGTAGACTACCTTGAACAGGAAAGTACCCCGTAACATACTCGCTAAAATAAGAATACAAGCCTACAAGCCTACAAGCCTACTCAGTTCGAGTATTGTTCTACTGTTACAATTTGAACAAATCAGTCCGAACTTTACGATTTAGGCCGAATAAAAACACGCCCTTCATGATGCTAGCCCTTCAAGGGTTCGTGCTAGTTTGACGCGAAGCGGCGGATCCACAATTTCGCCAGATGCAGTACGGTACAGTGCAGTCCGTATCGTTCAAGAGCTTCTTCAACTCCAAGTCTGACACGAAGCCCTTCTGCATTTTGACATTCGATGCGAGCCGGTTTCATGTGTTTGTTGAGGTTGGTGAATTCTAGTCCGACAATTGCTGCCGCAGGGGCAACGTAGGGACCACTTCTGTTTCACCCGACCCGACCATTGACCCTCTAATTTTCGCCGCGTGCGGTTTTTCTTTTGTTTGCAAAATTGATGCGCCTTCTCCTTCCGAGTCTGGATTGAAGTTGAAGTGCCCCCCGCCCACCCACCACCCACAACGTGTGGTTGGTCGGTCATACACATGTGGCATGATTTGGTCATGGCTGGATCACAAGGACATGATCATTCGTGTAGACAAGGACGCACACACACTCCACGGGTAGGTGGCTCGCTGCCTTATTATCGAATTCGTTCAATTTTGTTCGCTGGGGCGGCGGGTAAGGACCTACGTAGCAGTCACTGTCCTTGAGCGCGGTGCGATTTCAGGCTCTGTGTACACTATGGTCAAGCGCGGTGCGATTTCAGACTTTTGTATACACCATCGTCAAGCGCGGTGCGATTTCAGACCTTGTATACCGTGTATGGTGACCATACCGTATGGCAAAAGGCGGGATCATCTTATCATGGGCATGATATCATCATGTATGATGGGTGCCGCTCAGAGTGGCTGTCCACGGAGTTCGAGGCGTTCGAAGCGGCGCCGTGTCCGCACACGCCGGGTATCCGACGCGGATCCGCGTCACAGCGACATACGTCCAAATAAAGGCGCGAAATCCGCGATCCATTCCGATCCACCTACTAAGTGTGCCACCGAGGCGCGCCGCCCGCCGCCGCCTTCCCCGCCGCGCTCCGTTCCTCGTCCACAAGTTGTGACACGGCGTCGCCTTCTTCCAGACTGAATCTTCGAGGCGACTCGGAGTCGTCGGCCATGGCATGCCCTTCGTCCACCAACTGCCCTCCCATGATTGGGAGCGCGGCTCGGGCCCGTCATGCCGCTGTTACCACTCACGCCTCGGCTCACCCACCCCATCCAGCTCCAATCCGGGATTTACAAACCTGCTCAGGCGGAAGGGACGGAGTATATACGAGTGACTCGCCTGCACCTCTAGCACCAGGTTTCCATTTTCAGATTTCAAGCTTTCGCCCTTCCCTCTTCTGCTAGTGATACCAACATGGAGCGCACGGCACCTCTCTTCGTCTTCGTCCTCTGTAAGCTCTCTGTTTCAAAGTTTAGTACCTTCAAGTTTCCTGCGTTCTGTTCATTTTCTCTTACTCCGTGCTGCTGACGCGGCATCAGGTGATGCCACTCCGAGAGCCACCACCGAACACATCACTTTCAAATGATGCGAGCTCGTGCCGTGCCGTGCCGTGCCGTGCCGTGCCGTGCCGTGCCGTGCCGTGCCGTGCCGTGCCGTGCCGTGCCGTGCCGTGCCGTGGCGTGGCGTGCCGTGCCGCCTGTCGACTCGCAACAACAGCCACGCCACTCGCCCGTCATTCTGTTTCCAATGTCATTCTCTCTCCTGTCGTGCACTGCCATGGCCCGTCACCTGACCATCAGGTGCGGCGTGCCTCACTACCGGAGCCGCGTCTGCCGCCTCAATCCTTCCGCCGTTCCTCGCACGCGACGCTGGCGTTGCTGCAGCGTCGTCTGCCGGCCAAGTCGCCAAGCCCATGGCATGGAAGGGGAAGACTATGGCTAAGACTGCAACGCTCCTTGCTGCTTTGGCCTCGCTCGTAGTGTTCCGTACTAGCAGCGGCAGCAGCAGCGGCAGAGGCAGCAACAAGGTGCGGGTGCACCTAGCTGCGGCCATCATCCAGAGTTCAGCAGTCGAGTTTCATTCCTGAGGTTTCCCTTGCATATCAGGTTTGTGCCGCATGTCATGTCATGTCATGTTGAACGTTGCTGTTTTCTTCCAATCACGTACCGTAACATGGTGTCTTGTCTTGCATTGCTGCCGCAGTGTCTGCAACATATCATCATGAATTCACGGTTCTGCACGGCATGATATTTCGTTCCCATCCTCCAATGAACCCCCCGGAAGAACGAGGGCCGTTCATTCTTTCACCACCAGACTCACATCATCGCCGACTCGCAAAATGCCTGGACCGGATTCTCATGCAGTCAGTCCGATTCATACAGGGCTGGTGCTACTTGTAGTACCTCCGAGACCTTACCCCGCCGCTGCCCTTCCTTGTTCCTTCGCATGCGGCCCTATCCCCGCCATTTTCCATTGGCAGTCAAATATGTGGCCAAGTTGCGTCCTACTAAGAGCAATGGGAAGGTGATCGGTGACAAGGGTGCATCGGGGAAATTTGTTTTGAAGGTTGTGAGGTGCGTCTCTGTGCTATCCTATCCTATCCGTTGCTGCCGCTGTTCCTTATGAACAGATTTATTGTTTTGCGTTCACAAGTGGGTGGCCCCAACACCCATCACCACCACTTTCCCATTCCCACTCTCCACCCTCCTCCCCACACCCGCATCAACCACCCCCTCCCTCCCCCTCCCCCTCTCTTTCCCTTCCCCCCCCTTCCCCCTCCCTTCCACCATTCCTTCACCCCATCACTTCCCTCCCTCTGGCAACTTCAACCCCAATCCCCTGACTCTTTCCTCTCTCCTCTCCCCTCTCTCCTCTCCCATCTCCCCTCTCTCCTCTCCCCTCCTTTGCAACCATCTCCCCCAATGCCCGGTTGGCAGGTACTCAGCTTCGTCCTACTATGTCCACTACAATCTAGGCGTCTTTAAGGTCGCCTCTGGCGGGAAATATCCCGTCCCAGCTGCCGCCAAGTCCTGCACTGCCACGCAGGTTACAGGCGGCGGCGGTGTGCCTTGGGTGAATATCACCAGCGACAAGACCGGTCGCAGCAAGCGTTACAGCTTTGCAGTGAAGCTGGATGTAGGGCCGACGAATCTGGCTCAAGCCCGTGGGACAATTGCACAGATGAGGTCTACCGGCGAGTATTTTCGAGTTGGGCACGAGAAGAACGCGTTTGCGCTCTGTGGGAAGATGAAGAAAGTGTAGCTGGCTGCTTGCTGCTAGGTAGCTCGGCTCGCTTTGTTCACTTTTGGTTTGGCTGCCTTGCCTGAGTTCTCAGAGGGTGCAATGGAAGTGTGCCTTTATGCACGAGTTTTGCGTTGAGGATTTTGCGTGATCGGGATGTTCGTGTTGCATGATCGGAAGTGCTTGTATCAGAGTACCCTAAATCAGCCTGAGCGATGCTCACACATGATGTTATTCAAGTATAGGGTCTATGAGCGTTCAACGTCATACAAATATGTGCTTTGTCCAACCTTCTGATGAATGTACCTAGAAAGCAAGTCAAAACTTCTACGACGCTAACGAAGAACGCGGACAACACAACTCCTCTTCATAGGGGCCAGGAACTCGATCTTGATGAGAGTCTGAGTTACATATTGTTTCTGCCCTGGCGTGGAAAATATGTTTACGAGGGTGTAGACGGAGCAGCTGTACTTTTGTTTAGTCCGGCTGGGGCTGTACAAAACTGTTGGGGAGTTCTTACACAGTGTACATGTACATGTGCACATGGAGTCCAAGGCTTACCATCAGCTTCGTTCAGGACCTAGCGTCACGTGGGAACCCAGCGCCCAGTTTCTCACCTCCTTCAAGATTCCCGAAGCTGAATTGTGCCGCTGAACCTGCAAAACTAGCTTCCCAACCTGATTACGATCACTCAACCTAAAGTGGGGGAAGAACTCCATTGGTCATAATTGCCTAGTACCCACCTACCAGTTTATCTATATGGCGTTACGTACCTCGCTGGGTGTCGGCGTAGGAATACCCACTAGGAGATTTTCGAAAAGGACAGTCTGTCTTGGTTTCGTCGCGACACGTCGGAAGTACAGTGTTCCCTGCTCAGTCACGTTACGTCAAGCATACGAAACCATCGCGCTCCGTTCCTCGTCCACACGTTGTGACGAGCCGTCATCTATGTCATCCGCGGTGCGTTTGATCAACCAACTACCCTGGCGGCTCGGCTCGCCATGCAGCGCAAAGTTAATCACTCGCGCCGCCTCGGATCGGGTCTCGCTCCCAGTCACCCCGTCTGAACTGGGATCAATCAACCCAGCAAGCATCCGAGGGAGTCCCTCCCAAGGCGGATGCTCGGGGTATATGATAGGAGTATATTCGCCAGCATACAGTCATATCTACTCGTAGCACAAGGTTTTCATTTCAGTGTCACACTTCCTTCCTTAGGAGTCATTTTCAGGCTTGCACGGTGCAAGCTTTTTTCCCTTCCTCTGCTGCTAGTACCACCATGGAGCGCGCGCCACCACTTCTCGTCGTCCTCCTCTGTAAGCAGTTATTGTTACCTTTCAAATTCCTGTTCGTGTGAAGCGTTTCAATCATGCTGCTCCGCCGCTGTCCACTCAGAGGGTTTACTGCTTCCTTACCGCCGTCAGAATTTAATTTTGCCGTTTCTGGCTCGGCTTTGTGGTTTCTGGCAGTTCGTGTCAACGGTCAGTACATATTACGCCCCCTTGTTTCGAAGATGATCATGTCATGACGCTCCCTCGTTTTCCCAATGTCGTGCGCGCTGCCCTTGCCCGTCAGGTGCGGCGTTCTTCACTGCAGCCGCGTCTGCCTCAAATTTCCCGCCATTCCTCGCACGCGGCGGCAGTGCTTCAGCCGCGACTGCCGGCCCATTCGCCAAGAAGCAGAAAGCGAAGGTTATCGGTAAGTCGCTATTTGGCCTTCCGCTGCAGCAGCAGCAGCAGCAGCAGCATCAGCGATTTGCGGGTGCACCAAACTGCGGTCATCCAAAGTTAACCAAACGGATGTTGTTCTAGTGGTTTTCACTCCACGTGTATGTGTCCCTGACTGTCCTATCTTTCATGATCATGATGCATCACTTCACTGGTGCCATGCCATTTTCAGTGCTTCACGCCGGAACCAAGGTCGTCTTGGTGCTACTACTAGTAGTAGTCAGGCTGATTCATTCAGTGCTGCTGTACCTCCTTCCTACCCGTTGTCCTTCCACCTTCCGTCCCATGCGCTTCTCCTCCTGTCACTGCAATCCCCATGGGCAGACAAATACGTGGCTAAGTTGCATCCTCCGAAGAGGGACGGAAAATTGATCGGCGACAAAGGTGCATCCGGGAGATGTGCTACTAAGGCGGTGATGTGCGTTTCATGTGCAATCCTATAGCATCCGCTGCTGCTGCTGCTGTTCCTTATAACCGCTCAGGACTAGTATGACATTTCCCCCCCTTATATTCTCGAGTGGGTTGCTCCAGCACCCATTCCTACCCCCCTTCCAATTTTGCCATCACTTCACCCCTCTTCGATCTCCACCCCTCCTCCTCTATCTCTCATCCTTGAACAACCACAACCACTCATTCCTCCTTTCCCCTGTCTCCTTTGCAACCATCTCCCCCAATGTCCTGTTGGCAGGTACTCGTCAACTTCATACGCTTACGTTTCTCTTTGCAAGGCATTCAAGCTTGACTCTGGCGGAAAACCACCTGCCTCAGGTAACATGCGTTCCTGCAATGGCAGCAGCGGGGTTCAAGGTGACACCCAGCTTCCGTGGGTTAACATCACCCAGAGTGGTCAGAAGCGCTACAGCTTCAAGTTGAGATATATAGTGAAAGTGAAGACTTTGGCTGAAGTCCGTGCGGGGATAGCGCTTGACTTTGAAAACGGGGATTACCAAATGCTTGGGCACCAAAATAATGCGTACGCTCTGTGTGGAAAGTTTGAGAAAGTGATATAGGTGGTTTGGGGACTCACTCTGCCCACTTTTGGTTGCCTAGCGGATGGTGCAAGTGTTCCTGCCGTCAACCAGTGCACGGTGGATGTGGATGTGTGGTGGTTGGTTGGGGTACGGTATCTCATGTTGCATCGTTGGAAGTGATTGTAACTTGGGTGTATTTATTTGCAGATAAGCATTCTATGGTGGATGGGGTTGTGCATATCTGAGCAAGGTTCTGCTGCAGTCATGTTAGAATATATATTTATATATATTTATGTACCTGCCTGTAGCTGTAGCTTTAGTGTAGTTATAAACTCTTTGTATTGGTGGTGCACCTCCTTTGTCTCCTATTTGTACCCTCGAGCCTATAGTGAACCCCCCTTCTTTCTCGACATTCCACTCTCTCGCCACTCTCCTAGGTTCCTAACCTAGCCTAGCTTCTTGACATGGTACAGAGCAATAATCTAAGTACCTATTTTTTCTTTAGGATCATGGGTCCCGCGTTTCGCTCTCTGCAGGCCCCACTCGATTCGCGCTCCGAAGGCATACTCGTCGCGCCCCGTGCGCCCTCCTTCCCGTCGCCCGCGGCCCCACGTTTCGGCGCCCCACGGGTCACCCGAGTCGCGCCCCGTGCGCCCTCCCGTTCGTCGCGCCCCGCTGCGCCCTGCTCTGCCTGTTCGTCGCGCCCCGTGCGCCCTCCAGTTCGTCGCGCTTCGATGCGCCCTACTCTGCCCGCGTCGCCCTGCCCGTCGTCCGCGCCAATGCCCGCACCTGCGCCAGCACTTCGCGGCCAGCGCCAGTGCGGAACGCAGCGCCAGCGCCTGCGCCATCCGCGCACGCCAGCGCTTGCGCTAGCAGGGGATGCCGGCGCCGGCAGCTCCGTATGCCGCCCCCCCACCCCCCCCCCCCCCCCCGCCCTTCCCTTCCGCGGCTCCCGCCGTGGGGGGGGGGGACGGGAGTTCTGGGGGCGGAAGGTGTGAACCACCAGTAGCTCGTCCCTCCCCCACTCTCCTTCCCTCTTACTCTCTCCCTGCAGCACTTGTTGCTGTCGGGGAGGGGGGGGGGGATGAGAGATGCTAAGGGAGGGTAAGAGAGAGTGGTGGAACCAGTAGCCACGCATCTGCAGCTGCCGTCCACTGCTATGTGGCACCTACTTCTGCAGCCCCTGACGCTTCTCTCTCTTCGTTCGTCTTCTTTGCTGTTGAGCTGCAAACTAAGCGCGCCACAGCACATCGTCTTCGTTCGTCTTCTTTGCTGTTGAGCTGCAAACTAAGCGCGCCACAGCACATCGTCTTCGTTCTCTCTTTCTTGCCTCAGGGCTTGCTGCAGCTGTCTCTGCCACCACTGCACTGGTTGTCATTGCACTTGCCTCCTGTTGCTGCTTTCTCTGTTCGTGGTGTACCCATCCAGGAGTTGTTGCTGCACAAGCTCCTGCTGCAGGCAGTTATGGGGGAGTGTTAGAATATATATTTATATATATTTATGTACCTGCCTGTAGCTGTAGCTTTAGTGTAGTTATAAACTCTTTGTATTGGTGGTGCACCTCCTTTGTCTCCTATTTGTACCCTCGAGCCTATAGTGAACCCCCCTACTTTCTCGATATTCCACTCTCTCGCCACTCTCATAGGTTCTTAACCAGTGCTAATTTTTGGATTTGGGATACCCTTATAATCAGTGTACCTCTTGCTCAAAAAGCCGATTATCAGTGTGACTCTCTACGGATATTTTTACCCGTCAGGGTATTCATAAGTTTGTAAAAATTTACCCAAGCGCATCAGTGTAAAGATATTGTACAGCCTGATAGTATATTAATAATGAAGCACTCCACACACCTTTCAGTCATCATCATCGGACATGCCAAAGGGGTGTTCATCGTGGTCACTTTCCTCTTCTGGCTCTGGTGCCTTCTGCTTCCCCTTCCAATCCGCTGGTATCGCGGGCGCAACTGATTTCGCCGGCCTGCGCGCTTTCTGCTTGCGCCAGATGTCCACCACGTCCGGCCAGACGTAGGGGTACTTCAGCATGTGCAGCGTCATGAGGTCGCCAAGGCGTGCATCGCACAGCGATGTGCGCATCCAGCTCTTGATGATATTCTGGCGACTAAACCCCCTCTCACACTCCACTGTGCTCAGTGGCAGCACAGCGAGGGCCTGCCAGAGTGTCATGAGATTCGGATAGCTGCGTCGCACGTCCCGGCTCTTCATCATGCTTTGGAGGGCCTGGTGGAAATCCTCTGCCGCGTGGTGGCGTGGCATGATGTGAATGAAGCTTCTCAGCTCTTTCTTGGCGGCCTTGAAATCAAATCCTGACGGGGGAGGGGATTGGGGCGTTGGTAGTGGACATCGGTGGCTGTCCGAGGTTGGATGGCATGCATGGGACAGATCGTAATATTAGTAATGATTGCCCGAAGCTCACCTGGTAGCTGTTTGCCAAACAGCTCGTCGTTAGCGGCCAGCCACTCGAGGGTCTTCAATTCGCGCTGGTCATCTCTGCTCGGCCACGAGTCAACTTGAAACAGCTTTGCGCCGTCCATCTGCTGCAAGTCCCACATGCGGTACTTCATGCGTGCGACGATTTCCTTCGCGAACCCCATGCAAAGCTTCTCGCAGTCTGCAAGCGTGCCCCCAAACAAACAAACAAACATACGGATGTTTGTTTGCTTTTCTTCTTGATTGGGGTCTCGCTCAGCACAAACTTGTGCGATGTTTGCCGCCCCTCCGCGTCAACCCCTTCGACCACCACCGTGCGGTTGTCACCACCGTGCTGCTTGATGAACTTGGACAGGTGCTTGCTGACCCCGCCGCCAAAAGTGTCACCGTACTGGATGTAACGGTGAGTGATGACGGTGATTGTGTGGTCGACTTCTTTGCCCACCAGTGTGATATCCACCTTGAACAGCACGGGCACTAAAAACATGTTAGCTGCGACAACTTTAAGTGTAACCCTGGTTGTACCCAGCACCCGAGGTGTCAGAGGTCCACTGGAGATCCCCGATGATCCTAGGGAAGGGTTACAGGCACGTTGGCCTGGGGGGTTATGGGCGCACTCACCCGCTACACAAACAAGCCCTTTTATCCCAGTGGTTAGTGGCTGGGATTCTGACATGGTATCAGAGCGAAGGTCTCGGGTTCGAATCCCGGTGTGTGCACCTCGGGCATCCCAGTGCGGGGGGGTGTCAAAGGTCCACTGGAGATCCCCGATGATCCTAGGGAAGGGTTACAGGCACGTTGGCCTGGGGGGTTATGGGCGCACTCACCCGCTACACAAACAAGCCCTTTTATCCCAGTGGTTAGTGGCTGGGATTCTGACACGAGGAACTTGCCTTGCGGTGCTGGAAGAAGCGGTTGAGCGTGTTGAGCACTGCAAGAATGTCTGCGAGGAAGTACAGGTAGCAGTGAAATTTGAACGTCTGTACTGTTGAAGCGATTTTTTGGCCATACTCCACAATCATCACGATCGCCGCCCCAAACACTCTGACAAGCCTTGCTACAGCGTCTCCCCGAGACAGCCAACGGACGTTGAACAGTCCCTGGTGTTCGAGATTGGTCTTGTGAATCTCCTGTTGAAGCTCCTTGAATCTGTCGTACCAGATGTTGGAACGGCAGATAATCTCTCCCACGGCTCGCACGGCAGCGTCGATCATGTTCAAGTCGGGGTAGGCCTTCGCAGCATCCTTCACGACCAGGGCTTCCCTGCAGCACGCCCAGACGGTATAGTAATGTAAGACAACATTAAAGCGCGCACGGTGCTACAGCATCGCATGAGATTAATCAAAACCACCACTCTAGAGCGGCTCACCTATGCGAGACGCAGTGACATCCGACGAGATGCGGCACGTGCTCTTGCAGACGGCTTACAAGACCGCTCTTCTCCCCTGTCATCACAGAAGCGCCGTCGGTGCCGATGCCTGACACCCGCTTGAGGTCCACCCCGACGGACTCCAGGTGACTTGTGAGCACGGTGAACAGCGACGAAGCGTCGCACTTGTGCACCGTCAGCAGCGCCAGAAACTCCGTCACGGACACGCCGTTCTTGAGAAAGGTGGCGAACACGATCAGATGCTTGCCGTGAGCGCGATCTGTGCTCTCGTCGCATGTAAGGCCGATGAATGGTGATGCGAGAAGATGCTGCAGCTGCTGTGTTTTCTGGTACTTTGCCATAGCGGAAGCCATTTCGTTGAAACCGTACCTGCCACAAGCCGATTTGCAGTGGATTAGACTCGGATAGAATGGGAAACCATGCATTGAGGCACTGACTATTGTAACGGTATAAAGGCGGCTGCTTACTGTGTGATGTACACGCCGTACGACTGAAGCGGGATGTCCTCGACACCCTCCTCCGCGAGGGAACATGGCGATTGGTGCGTCGTGGTCGTAGATGAACTGCACGCCGCGCATGAGCCGGGTCAGTCGCGCCCCCTCCATGTCGTGGTTGGCGAAGTCGTCAATCCGCTTCTGCTTCTCAATCTCCGCCATCAAAGTCCGCTGCCGTTTCATGGCTTCTTCGTGGCGGCCGCTCACCTCGTGGCTTCGCATCGATCCGAGCTGCTCACCTCGTGGCCGCTCACCTCGTGGCTCACCCCGTTCCGTTTCGGCCGAACTTCGCATCGTCCTTTCCGTGCTCCACGCAAATGCTGCATCGCAGTCGGGGCAGCCCTTCTTCGTTCTTGTCCAGCAGCAGCCAGTCGAACTTCGGCAGCCACTGCGTGATGTAGAGCTGCTGCGCCTTCAAGAATTTCTCCTCAGCCTTCTCGGCGTCGGTGAGTTCACGGGAGACCCGCTTCGGAGCTTGGACAGGAGCGGGCGGCGGAGTCGGTTTTGCTGGTGGCGTGCCGAACGGTAAGACGGCCTGCGCGTAGCGACGCCTCTTCTTCGAGGCTGCAGACGATGACTCGCCCACCTCCGTCACGCTGACAGTGGCGGGAGCACTGTCCGGTGCGTCGGCTTTGGATGGAGTCGGCACGGACACAATGTCCTTTCCTTTGCTGCAAGATGACGAGCCTGGCGTAACCACAGGCGAAG